AAATTTTAATAACTGCATGTATTGAGTTACGGTAAGGAAATCTTGAATTTAACAATTAGAAATGTGTTGAATGTGGATTAAATAAAAATTTCCGGTTCACCAAAATAATATACGTCTTCTTGCTTTAGCCTACCCGTTTTAAAATTCATTTAAAAACGCCAATAAATTAACACGAAGCAATGAATTCTGAATTATACAGCCTAAGACCTTTCATTAGATATTTCTATGCAGCTGCTACTAAAAAACAAATAAAAACAACATTTTTTTTTTTTATAACAAAATAAACTATCACAAACTTATTTTTTAACTTAAATTAATAAATAAAAAAACAGTCGCACGTCGATTTTCCTTAAACAACGAATACTCGTTGAAAATAATATTTATTGTTATGTTGGCCAACATTATTAAACAACATTAGAATTTCGCATTGTGTTCGCTTGTCCTATTTTTTTTTTGTAGCTCGAACTCGCTCAGGATTTATGGCCATACTGCCAATTTGATTTACCAAAAAAAAAAACGCCCTGATTTTAGTTTATGAGCCCCGGTTATCGCTTAAGTGCCTTATTCACGATCCATCTTGCTGTACGTCCCGCCAAGGCCATGCACGATGCGTTTAGCGCTTTATTCACGATCCATCACGGCTGTACGTCAGCTCAAGGCCGCAATTAATAATAATTACCGACGTACGTCAAGCCTATTCATGATCTTTTTGCATCGTGCATCGTGCATGGCCTTGGCGGGACGTACAGCAAGATGGATCGTGAATAAGGCGCTTTAGCATCAAACTTTTTTACCATCAACACAAATTCTCTATAAAGCAAAGCGCAAGTGTTTCTAGTGAGAGTTTTTTTGTTTATTCTTTCACACATAAGGTAAACTATAATTTGAGGTAGAAACACTGCCATAAACATGACGCGTTAGGACGAATATGTAGATACGTCTTCTTCGTCATCGAAACGCACGAGAAAGTGAGAGCGGTAACGCCAGTTATTGGCCATTTCAAGCATTTTATCATTACGATTTTTTAATTTTTTACAATGGCCACAACTAAGAATTTGACAGCTCGAAAAGCGCGCCGGTGAAGTCATTCACATTATTATGGGCAACTCTCAATTTACGCACAGAAGTCGCAGTGTGAATCTTTTCCGATACACGTCTGCGTTGAGCCGTATCTTTAGTAGGACGATAAGCAATGCCATCTAGTGTCAGCGAGGTGCAACAGCTTTACGAGGTAACAAGAGCATTACGAATATGTTCCTGTGTCTATGTGAACATATGTGGCCTTCTGAGCACGTCTCGTATATATTATTGGTCAAATTGTGTAGGTAAATATTTACTAGAATTTTACGTATGAAAATTAGGTCCGGTTATCCGAAAAGTGGCTTTCGCCAGTCTTTGCAACAATATTTATTTTTAAGGAGGGTAGGCGCATTACGAACGTGCACCATAAGTACCCTCGTTCTGCCAATGAAGCAAAGCAGCACGAGTTTTGAAGGATACGGTTATATAAGACAAATGAGACTTTAGGATCACGTCAAAGCTGTCTCAAACGCTTTAAGGCCATACGTTGCGGTTTCAAGGATGAGACAGTACAATGTAATTGAGACTTCAACTTCAAGGTGAACGGTGGCGGTCGTTATGTCTACAGGCGCCGATGACCACTTAACATTAAATAGGTCAAGTCCGATAGCCAATGAGTGCAATAACAATGTCAGTAATAATGTAGGCCAATTAACACAATTTTATATAAACATAATAATTTTAAATAGAATCTCAAAATCATGCTACGCTCTGACTAGGAATCTGTCACAGTCAATGATATATGTATTATTAAGATCACACATGTCTTTTTGCCGTAACACATTGGCTACTTAATAAAAACTAAACGCATAGAGCCGTCTGAACTATAAAAAAAACTATATGTAACAGAGTGAAATGTAAGCACTTCAACGTACCCAAAACACACAACAGTACTAAGCATAGTGTTGAGAGATTAATAATCTCTGTTTGTTTTTTAAATCATTTAAACATTATCCATTTGAAATATTGTTTGTGGAATATCATTGTTTTATCTGTATTCGCAATACCATTTTAAGGGTTCAAATTAATGTAGATAATCGTCTAAAACTTATACATAATAATGTTTGGAAGTACATATGTCGAAATTTATAAGTAATAAAGAAAATAATCACAAAAACACAATTATAACAAATAGGCATTTAAAAACTAAGCTACTTTCAAATAGGAAAAATTAAAACAAAAATAGGGTAGAAATATTTTTTTTTTCTATAGATATGATACTATAATATACATAATCTAATCATCATATAATATATTATACACATATACAACACGGATAGAACCATTCTGACCTATAGGTGTAAAAAATTTTGAACAGCATAGCTGAAAAGATTTTATTTTAAATTAAAGACAATTTCTGGTTCATCAGCATAATATGAATATTATAAGATATATTATGATATTACGATACAGTCAGGGAAGATTATAAAATTCGAATTTTAATAATGGTTAGTCTCAAAATTAATTCCTATTTTGAACTCGCTGATAGTTCCTATAGCTCGATATAAAAATGGTTAGGTGATTTCACAAAATTGTGCGTTCAAAAATCTTATAATTAAATATAACACTATAGGCTCACAATCTATGATTGTTGTACCTTTGAATAGTTGTAAATTATATTATAAATTAACAACATGTCGGATGGGACCCTGTATTCAATGATATCTCCGAATTTGCGTCCGATATTATATAATAATATAATATGATATAAATAATAAATTCATTCGAAACACATTCGATATTATATTATTGAGCAACACTATCTCCAGTACTGTTGTATAAAATGTTGTGGTATTTTTTAATACTTCAATCCGATTCGATTTTGAAGGAACACGTTTGACAGTTCTTTGTGTACATTCGAAATTTAAGGCAACCTTCCGAACACAGCGATGCGCAATGAGCGTGTTTGTTTTATGCAGTCGATCGATTCGAACGAGAGCAACACGAGCACAAAACGATTGGGATAAACAAATCGATTTCCACCATAAACAATCGATCGCCAATTTTACAGTCTCGATTGCTCTGTTGAGATTTCGATGCAAAATTGCACTTAAAATTCGGATAACGTTATAAAAACTGTTAATCACATAAGTCGGAAGACCGAATTCGGCACGCCAGTATTTTTGACAAATAACTTCATTCATACACCCGAAATCGATAAAATTTCTAAAATTTATTCGATTCAATCCGTAATTATCACTCGTTTGTTTGTTGAAAATCAATTTGGCAGTTGTATAAACGCGCACAATAGTGCAAGGCAACGAGAGAAAATATCGATAGATAAATAATTCGTGACACAGTCGACAGACGTTCACCGCGACCGATGATATTCGAAAGGTTGGCATGACGTATCGATTCTTATTCGTTACATCCGCATATTTAAATTTCGAATTGAAGAAACGCGTAAGTATGTCTTGGGTACGTTTAGGGCGCGAATGATAGAGTCGATGGTCGGAGGTATCGCGTTGGGCGAGGGGGCGAGGCTAGGCGGAGGGGGACGCGTGCGGGGCGGGGACGGGTCACCGCGCACCCCGCCCGCGACGGCCCGGCTTCCCGCGGCGGTTGAATCCTCTATTATACAAATCACACATTAGCATGGACTGGTGGTAGGACCTCTTGTGAGTCCGCGTGGGTAGGTACCACCGCCCTGCCTATTTCTGCCGTGAAGCAGTCATGCGTTTCGGTTTGAAGGGTGAGGCAGCCGTTGTAACTATACTTGAGACCTTAGAGCTTATATCTCAAGGTGGGTGACGCATTTGCATTGTAGACGTCTATGGGCTCCAGTAACCACTTAGCATCAGGTTGGCTTTGAGCTCATCCGCCCAACTAAGCAAAAAAAAATGTTTGAAGACAAACGGCCTCCTTCAAGTCTCCTCCGCAAATCCCTCAACGTATATTCAATTTGGGAGTCCGTTCTCTGCAATGTGAATGGTCAGTGATACCTGTACGGTCCGCGGTAGGGCGGGCGAGGCTGCGTGTCGGCGGCGGCGGCGTCGCCCCCGCTGTGGCGCGCTCCCCCCGCGCCCGCCCCGGGCTGCGCGTCGCGCGACGACCCGGCCACATTGTTCCGGGATGCCTGAGTATTATTTTATAAGAGAAAACATGTGTGTGTTTAAAGGCTACGTCAAACAGAACGCGTACTTAGCGCGTGTCAGAGCGCTAAACTGACGGCGCGATATGACGCCGAGATGTGTTGTTCTATAAAGGCTTCGTCAAACAGAACGCGTACTTATAAGTACGCAACACTCTGTCGCGGCGTTAGGACGCTTTGACGTCAGGCGTTGTAATTTTTTACAAATTTCATTTAGCGTGAATATGTATCAAAATACTTGATAATACCCGAAAAATTGATAGAATTATTTAGAAAATACTCATGCTTATACAATGACACATGTGAATCACTCGACATCTTAATACTTTTAAATTTTCACACTGCTATCGAAAGGCACTATGATTTGGCGAATGCGTTGCGTCAACGAGCGTTGGCCTCATCTACTTAATTTGTGTGACATGAAAAGAGCGCGACGTTAAAACGCAGCGCTAAGTACGCGTTCTGTTTGACGAAGCCATTAAAGGCTACATTTTAGACAAATATTAATAAAGAGAAGAGAAATTATTCTCAATTTGACCATAGACTATAAGCAATAAGAAAAGTTTGACAATAAGCAAATAGTACATGCGTGTGTGTGTCAAATATATCATGGTAGTGTGTGTTGTTTTTTTTATTGATTTAATGTAATTTTTTATGCATAATCTAAAAAAATTAGCATGCTGCACTCCTCTATATTCTCTATAAGTGTGGGAAATTTCGTAATCCTCCGTCCCCGCAATTTTCGTAAAAATGGGTACAAAGTTTTTGCTTCACGTATTAATATATAGTCATAGAGAATAAACAGTAAGATATTTATATATTTACGTTGTCAGTAGTGGGTGTGGTTGTGATGGTCAGCAGGGGGGGCCCATTGTCGCCCATACCGACGACCCCGCCCTTAGCAACTTGCACAGCTAACAGTTCGGCCATCTTCATTTGGAGTTCCTGGTCGACGAAACAAAGGTTCAGTACAAAATTGCACGATGTTTTTCTTCCTTCTTTTTTTGCAACCGTTACTCACTTTTAGTTCAGCTGTCAAGCGGAACGGTGGTGCCGACAGGGAGCTCTTTGGTGGGGGAGCCTCCTTTAAAGTGTCCACGTCACAGGATACCGTGCAACGACACACCGGGCATGTTTGCTGAAATGTTTGTAATATTTGTAGAATTTTCTTTTGATACTACAGTTCCAATACTAAGGTGATTACGTTAATTAAGAGCAGTATGCTCTGCGCGTTCCCGGGTGTACTTCTAATAGGCTCTACTTCTCGTTCTGTCTATTCCTGTCACCATTTTTTTTTATTGCCTTTGTAGGCAGACGAGCATACGGACCACCTGATGGTGAGTGGTTACCGTCGCCCATGGACTTCAGCAATGCCAGGGGCAGGGCCAAGCCGCTGCCTGCCTATTTGTCATATGTCCTAGTTTCAAAGTCAGATAGATACCTGTAATTGTTTTGTACACTCGCACAGGAGTTCACACAGAGGTTACAAAAGATCATAGTCGTCCTTGTACAATACAAATGAGACTTCAATCTCATTTTTCATAGCCGGTTATGACCTTTAATTAATAAATTTGCATTAATTTAATATTTCGAAAATACCTGGTAAGGTGGCACTTGCATCTGTTGCCAAGTAGGTAGTTTCTCAAGTTCCTCGTGATAATATTTCTTGCCAGCGATGAAATGGTTTGCAAGGCAATGATTGTGGAAGTAATGGTAGCATTGCGTCTTTATAAACAAATCACCATCGACAAAATCATATAGGCATATGACACACTGGCCACGAGGAAGATTGCTCTTAGTCAGATGATCACGTACGATCTGAAAATCACCACACATACATTTGAATTTAATAGTAAAATACTTGTTTTGGTAAGAAATAACTAATTTGTTCATCTGTTTTTGCTGTAAGCCAATTTTGAATTGAGTCAAATGAAGTAGATCACGTTAAATAGATCTCAACTTTGTTCAGCAGTCATCATCATCATCATTCCTTCCTTTTACCCTCTGCTGGGGTGTAGGGCTCGAATCAAATTTTTCCATTTACATCGGTCTTGGGCAGTCTATTCTAGCTCCTCCCACGTCATGCCCAAGACCCCTAGCTCCTACTCCACCGAGCGACGCCAAGTTGTTCTGGGGCGGCCTCTCTTCCTCTTGCCAGACACTTTCCAGGACAGTGCTCTCTTTGATAGGTGGGTATCGGGCTTTCTCAAGTATTTTTATATATTTCAGCAGTATTCATGCAAATTTGTATACGTTGCGAAATGCTGACAGCATTGTCAAAAAATTCTAAAGATAGTGCCGCTCTATGGCTAATAATCAAAAATATTCTGGCGTTCTGTTAATACTTGCTCGCAGGCAAATCGCACTAAGATCTGACGTATATTGGATAAAGTGTATCAATAGTTGATAACAGCACCTACCCTATTTCTACCATGAGACAGTGATAGTAATTACAGTATACAATTGATTTAGACGTCGTATGTTACATAGCGGCACTAATGTAGTGATATCCCACAGATCCTTGATATCTAGATATCGGGCAGACTATGAAATTATCCACAGGTTCACACAGGGTTTCAAGATACCCTAACAACCGGCAATTGTTAATAGTACATTTTTTTCTATTCTATTCTATCAGCCCATGGCCGTCCACTGCTGGACATAGGCCTCCTCCAAGCCTCGCCACAAAGACCGGTCCTGCGCTGCCTGCATCCAGCGGATCCCCGCAAACCTCAATAGGTCGTCGGCCCACCTTGTGGGAGGCCTACCCACGCTACGTCTCCCAGTACGCGGCCGCCACTCAAGAACCTTCATAGTAACCTTAATAGTACAAATAGCACATAATTTTCTGAATAAACAATCGAAAAGAGCAACTGCCAATACTTATAAATGTTACTTAACAAAACAAAAAGTGATTAAACAAAATCCTGAATTGGTAGAGAACATTAACAGCATTATGTTATTGCTAGCAATAGAATAACATGAACCCACGGAAACTTTTTATAATACAATTATCACTAATTTGGGATTGTAGTTGAGGAGAGATAGGTCTTCAATATAAAAAATATCAAGACAATGACACTGAGTTACCTGGAATATTAATGGTTATATAAACCAGAATACCGAGTAAACGAACTGGAAGAGGTTGCTTAAAACTAATAGTTATGTGGAAATTGCTGGAAATTGCATTAAAATGCCAATTTTTTTTAGATCAGCATATAGATCATAATAATATGTGCTTTCAAATGAACACAAATGTGCAACCTTTGTTTAATAAATTTAAATATATAACACACATTGTGTTTATTCTATAATAATCAACAATAATTTACATATTACTTAAATAGTCGACTTACTTATAATAAACATTGTATAGGATAATTTAAAATTTTCAATATCAAATTAATTGGCTGGGTCTATGTTATGCATTTCTTGTCAGCAATTAATGTAAGGGAAGACACGTCTGTTAAAATTTGATAATTTTGGTATTGTGATTGAAGTTAGTCAGCAAAGGTAGGAAGGTGGCACGACATGACACACCCTCTTATCGTAGTCGCCATTAACCATTTCATAAGCCATTAACCATTTCATTTCAGGAGCGAGAGCTAACTACCACTTTCGGTCCATGTGATACAAGAGCAAACAACCTAGATATGTTCTTTCAGATCTCAATCCACTCTGTGTTTTTCAGCTTTGCTTGTGCTCTCGGTATTTTAAACACTGGTTACCGATCTCCTTAAATTAGCCCAATTTAATTTAAGATTTTGATGAACAAAAAATATTTTCTAAATTGGTCACATTTCCAGTCCTGCAGTACTCCAGTAGGATCACCACTGCTCTTGCTGGGACAGATATCAGCAAATTCATTCAGGCTGAGCCCTGTGAGCAAACAATTTGTAATTTATGTCCCAAACAAGTAGGTAGTACTTCATAAATTAATTTTGCATTTATATTTTAGGAGCACTACTGAGTTGTGAACATAAAGAGGACTGGACACAGGCTATTACCACATTAGACATGTATATATGTTAATGGAGATACCAAGGCCAATTATTTGTCTGCTGTCTATTTCAGCCCAATCCAAAAAGAAGTCCTGGAGATAGCTTCACTAATGTTCTAGCAAAGATTTTTTTTAACAAAAACATCATATTATATGAATAAAAAAAGAATAATAATACTTGGCAAGCAAAAAACCAAATATATGTAATATGATGAATAAAAATTTAAATACACCACTGACCTGAGCTGACCACACAAAAGCTAAGAAAAAAGAAGTAAGCTTACTAGGTAAAAATAAATCTCTGAATAACAATTCTGTTATCTATATCAATCCTCTGTGTACAAAGCTGTTTATAAAAATTAAAATAATTGTTAATCTTCATTCTCATTTGAAGGTCTTCCGAAATTTTTATCAATTTTATTTATAAGCTATTATGTTTAAAGCCAGTCAAGAAATAGAACAAAGCAAGTCAACTACCTACACTAATGCATGTTACTTCAATCTCTATAGTCTAGACGAGTAATTGTGGCAACAATCTATATATTTTCAGTACAAGAAATCAATATTTTAATTTTCTATAATTCAACAGTTCAAAATTCTAACATTTATTAAGGCCACTTGATTGTATAGTTATTTTTATAATTATTCATTGACTTACTCCAATAAGTTCAAACACTATTGGTTGTCCCAAATTATTTTTCAATTTGTCTTGAATATGTGTGTTGATAGTGTCTAAAATCATATCATCTAGACCTCTAGGGTTTTTGAGCGCTACTTCTGGGCTGGTGTCTGGATAGCCAGAAGACAACCCCACCTCCAGAGTCACACATACATATTGCTGATCGATATTATCCCCCGTCAACGGATGGATGATCGTTTCAATTATGTATTTTGGGACATCTCCAACGCGTTTTACTACCACATCTTTCAGCAGAATTGCTTCTAATGCTTGCACCTCGTCCGTGATTCTGTTAAAAACAATAAAATGTTATACGAAATACAAATTTCATACAAATTTATTCCGAACAAGATATAACACACCTTTCATCGCCGGAGGACGACATTTTAGTGATTTAAAACTGTTCTACAAATTATTATTGATGCATTCAGCTCAGACTTCAGGCAAGCGCAATGCAGCTGACGCAGCTTAACATATGGTATAATATGTACTTTTATTTATGTTTCCAGCTTCATGCAAAGCTCAGGTTGCTCGCATTGATTTCAGCGAGGGGACTGAGGGGTGGGGAAGGCAACGACACTTCCATCCATGCCATAGACTTATACTGAGCATAGACAATTACTGTGATTCTTTTAAAGCTTTTATGGTCTGGTAATAAGACGTTTACGCCAAGTCATATTTAGACATATTTCTTTTATTATTCTGTTCTCTCAAAAATTATCTGAAGCGCAATTATATGAAACTGATTAATTGAAGACTTTTAAGCAATTGGCATAAAGTTAAATGGAACGAGATGAGATGGGATGAAATAAAAACTCGGTAAAATGTTGGTTTTTTATTGAGAGTGGACTTTTTCTAAGAACCCGAGAAGTCACGTGCAACGGATTGTTTCATATTCACACTAGCTTTTGTCCGCGACTTCGTCCACGTGGAATAGTTACTTTGGCGTAACGCAAAATTTTACCCGCCTCTTCATTTACGTAGAAATTGAAAATATTTTTAAAGATGAAAATTGAAAATATTTTTACAAGCTGGGTGGCGCATTTACGCTGTAGATGTCTATGGGCTCCAGTAACCACCTAACACCAGGTTGGCTGTGAGCTCGTTCACCCATCTAAGCAATAAAAAAAAAGAATAATAGAATGTTAAGGAGCTATTTAAGGTACCTACCACAATCACGCTTTATAACCGACTTCAAAAGAGGAAGTTAAAGCGGAAGCTCTCAAAAGGGAAAAAAACACGATATTGAAACATTATTTTTCTCCTACCTACGCCGAAAGTTCGGTTTTCTTCCCGCTGTACAGGGAAGAAAGTATAACTTTTCCTCCCGCTGTACAGGGAAGAAAGTGTAATTTTTTCTCCCTGGGTACAAGTGCGCATGCGCGTTAGTGTTTACATCTGCTTTCACGCAGCTAAAATTCTCCGCCATTGTTGTGCTCGGGTAATTTGCAATATTGTGTTTAGGTGTAAAAGTGAAATAAACAAAAGGCAATAAAATTTAATAGTGAAGTATTAAACAAATATGAGTTTATCAGACAGTTCTTATTCAATTAATAGTAGTTTATTTAAAAATTAAAAAACAGTTAAATTCTTTTTTATGAGTATTGGGGCTGCGCCCCCCCTACCGCCTGCTATGGCTTCGCCCCTGGACCCTAGCTCCGTACTCCACGAACTTTCGGCCTGGTAGGAGAAAAAATAGTATGTGCACCGCGGGAGAAAAGTTGGACATTTCCTCCCGTGTGTAAAATTGCCACCCGAGCCGAAGTACCGAGCCGGGGTCCAGGACCGAAGCCCCGGTGGGATCCAGGGGTGAAGCCCTGGTCGGGGGTAGGGGGGGGCGCAGCCCCCCCATACTCATAAAAAAAACAAACACGGTGGGTGGGGGACATGGGTCACTCTCCATACATTGCACGGCCCACTAAACGAAGTTCAAGGACAGTAATTAAATTAAGTTTAAATAACAGACTATATATCCCTTTTATTATAAACAAATTAAAATCAATATTGTTCATGGGGTTACAGGGTGATATTTAAAAATTATGATAAGATTTTTAGGTTACCTATATCATATGATTTACTGTCAATACACTTACACTTTAACATCATCATCAACTTAAATATTATTTATATTATTACTATACTTTACAACACAGACCTAATTTAATGAACGCCAAGACTTAATTTTAAGCACAACAAAATATAATAAGCAGGTATATCGCAACAAAACACTTAATAATATCCACAATGCGCACGAGTGCGAAAACGACTAATCAAATGAAAAACGTCAATAAACATTAAAAACAAGCGTAGTTTTGTTTTTGCTTATGATCAATAATTATTGATCAATGTAATGATTTATTCTACGGATTTAAAAGTATAAAAATAGATTTTTGTTTAGATATAATGTTTTATATTAGTTATAAAATCCATTAATTAAATATGTTAATATATTTTGCTAGTTTTTTTTTGCAATATAATGTCTTTTTTAAGAAGATTTAATGTGGATTGCTTAAAATCTAATTTCTTTTTATTTATGATTTTAATTATCCCACCTTTAAAATACCATTAAATTTTATAATAAGTATGTAAAAATGTTTTTTTTTTCTATAGGTATTTCATTCGTATCCTTGAGAGCTCTAGTAGCTGGGCCGAAAATTGCCCATGTCCTTTACAAAACAAAACAATTAAAACAACCTCGTTCCCCGTGTTCCCGCTCTCAAGGGTAATCGTAAATCTAGTAAAACACTCGAATGTCCCCTAAGAGGGGATTTGCTAGAATTACGGAGATGTTTTTAGTGATTACGGGGTATTGAGTTATTTCACCGCAACTTTTGAGACATGCATGGTCTCTTGAAGTTTTCTCTTGAAATGGCATAAGAAATAAAATCAAGATATAAGAGATATTTAAAATAAATTGTCATCGGGTTTTGTATCAGATGAGAATGTAAGAGGCGTGCTTACGACGGTCCTAGCATGTACGTGTATGTATATGTTTATGTTATTTATGTAATTGTGTGAAAGTAAATTGATTAGAATGTACTCTTATGTAACCCACTTATGTAAAGCTCTCCCTCTTTAAAAACGGCTAGCTGGTAGATAACTCAATTGTTGAGTTAAGCTCGCCATTTTATAACTTTTCGTAATTATTGTACCTATTGTATTAACTGTGTGTACAATAAAGAAGTTTCAAGCAGTACACATAGATCTAACGATTGAAAAAATCGGAAAAGTAGTTCTTTTCTTGATGATTAAATTGTTTGGTAAAGGCTTGGTAAATGTTATCTTGTGAGTTAGTTATATCATTTAGAAATTATCAACTCATTTGACTATTCAATTGTTTCATTAGATTAAATGGCAAGGCATCCAACCTACATTTACTTTTTTTTGTTTACTACTTTAACTACCAACAAATTATTGATGTGTCCAGGAGATTAGTAAAAAAAAGAAACAATTTACTCATAAATTCAGTGTGTTGTTTTGTTTTATTTTTGTTCTTATGTTGCATTTATTTTAATTTCAAAATATCGTTTTGGATGCTATCTTAAAATATTTTTTAGTCTTCGTTGTGGAGGGCGGATTTAATAGCCACTGGGATCGACACTATGTACCTACACCGAGTGTTATTATAGTCTATGGTAGCGAGACAGAAAGACTGCTATAACCATAGAGTTACTAGCTATAACTGAAACCTCCTTTTTTAATTGCTTAGATGGGTGGACGAGCTCACGGCCCACCTGGTATTAAGAACTCACTAAAATTTTGCACTATTAATTATGTTGCTGAGGGAATCCTTTGGAGTAGTGGGTAGCATGGCGGTAGCTATTACAGAAAAAAAAACATCTAATGGATCTTGATGATTCTTCGTAACCACAATATAAAAATCCATTGACAAAAGTAAAAGGTTTAATTTTTTATTTTACATCATTAATATCCAATTTGCGAACTTTGAATAGATGAGTTGGCCCTCTTTGAACGACTGATATGGAAATCAGACTGTCTTTTGCCCCTTTTCGTCCACCTGAAAGGATTTTTTTTTAAATAATTTGGATCAGATATAGAACAACAAAATTAAAACTACTTAATATTTTAACTTATTATTGCCGAAGCTTAGAATTTACAGTTTTCTTGGTCACCGATGAATAAAATTTGATAGTACTAAGTTTGAATACTGTTTCAACCTTGAAAATAGTTATAATTTATTTTTTGACACGCGAGAACCTAGAAAAACAAAAAAAGTAACAAAATGTAACTCTATTATAACTAAATGACTTTAAAAAAATAAACAGTAGGTATATATAAGGAGTGAACACGTAATTCTTGAAGCCTAGATGGGATTCCTACCCTAATGTAAGCGTAAATAATGTTCTTACATTTAACTAACAAGCAATAATTGTCGTCTAAAAAACTTTGTACGGTGTTATTCTTTCAACATATGAATTTTGTTACAAAAACGGTTTCTGTCCGCGATATTTAAGCCAGGGCAAAGTAGTATCGATAGATTTGAATACTTAGGCGTCTTAAACTGTAGACCACGTCGATTTAAATTTTAGCGTGGAAGCAAAGTTGTGTGAACTATTTTATTTTGTTAACTTATTGTTTCTTCAGGTTTAAATGTGTAATAACGGTGGTTTATGGACTGTTTAGACTTCGCTTAAAGGTCTCGATGTCAGGCCATGTTATCTTTACAAAAAAGTAGCGTAGTTTTATTTTTCGAAATTATCTTACCAACAGACACGTTTTCATAATAATATTATAGGTATATTCTGTTGTTTGAAAAATAATATGGAGCGAAAAATGATTTGCATGTGACTTATTTGAGATTATAATCAATTCGAATGAAATTATTATTATTATTTTTTTTATTATTGATTAAATGGGTGGACGAGGTCACAGTCCACCTGGTGTTAAGTGGTTACTGGAGTCTATAGACATCTATAACGCAAATGCGCCACGAACCTCGGGTTAAGTTCTAAGGTCTCAAGCATAGTTACAACGGCTGCCCCACCCTTCAAACCGAAACGCATTACTGCTTCACGGCTGAAATAGGCAGAGTGGTGGTACCTACCTGTGCGGACTCACAAGAGGTCCTACCACTAGTAAAATTAAAATAAAAGTAGATGAGAATGGATGAAATAAAATCTCAGTAAAATGCTAGTTTTCTGAGACTTTTGTGACCTTTTCAAAAGAACCTGACCAGCCACATCCAACGACATTGTTTCACCTTCGAATATTGACATGATAGAAAAATTAAAAATTGGGGATGGGCATCTGTGCCGTCATTAATAGTTGTCATCATCAAATAAACCTGGAGCTAATAATATGTTCATATTAGATTATAACGTAGACTTAATAAATGAAAATAGAAAAAAAAATTGGATAATTACTGTTTGGTCAACTGTTCAAATGTGTTTCTTGAACAAACAAAGAAGATGAAAATAACAAATCCAAGGGATCGGTTGTAGAAATCAAATATTTCGACAAGCCAATCTGGGAACTCGTATGACTGAGCCAATTCCAGCAGCCAGTTAAAACCCATTAAAGCAGAGAGTTTGAAGAACATAAATCTGGATCTGAAAAAAAAAAGCCTTGCTTTAAACAGCTTATTTCTGGTTCTGGTCAGTGTGTGGAGTAAATAGTAGAAACAGTTCACCCTTCACATTAATAGTGTCCACGAAATTGTGTGACGGCGTCAATGATAATCTTTATATGATATATTTCTTCTGTGCGTGTGTTTGTCACTGAACTCCTCCTAAGCGGCTGGACCGATTTGAATGATTTTTTTTGTATGCTTTTGGGTATGATGCCAGGGCACCCTGGACGGCTTAGATTTACAAATCAGCCCGGCAGATGGCGCTGCAGTCGGTGTATATTTTATTTATCTTTTCTAGAAATAATTTATATGACACAAGTTCCGATCGCAACACGGTTGAGCCCGGACGCGTTTTCCCGAGAAATTGTCGCTGCTGTCGCGATCGTGTGTTTGGATTGCACGACATTGTCGTTGACGTTGTTTTGCATTCCGGACGCTCTGTCGCTGGCATCGCGACCTTGAATCGGTAAAGCGTATTTCGTGTTCGTAGTTTTGCACTCGAAACGACAACTCATTATCATCACTCATTCATTTATTAAATTTATTTATCTTATTCGGCGTGGAAAACAGTCTTTTTAAAGACTAAACCCCCACTGCGATCACCGCTTGTTGTGGCACTCACAACCCAGTGGGGTCCCACCTTCCCAACTCTCCACCCCAATCCCAGCTGACTGCCGTTCTCACGGCATAGGCACTCCCCCCCTTGTAGCTGGTAAAGCTCAGGGGGTGAAATCCTACTCAGGGGACTCGCCTTTCGGCGAGTGTGCCTTAAGTCCCGGGGACGCCCCCCCCGGGCAAACCAAGATGTGCGACGATGACGACCCCGCGATGTTCGCGAAGTTTGTCCGGGAGTTCTGCCCGGACATAATATCGAAGTTCCGGGCCTATAAGGCCAACCAGAAGGCGTCCCACGTACCGGTCGCCGCCGCCGCGGATATCCCCGACTCGCCGATGTCGCCCCCCACCCCCGCGCCCGCGTCGATCGCGTCCTCCGTAGCGGAGAGCTCCGGCTCCGACTCCGAGTCGGAAATGGAGTACGAGTCCGCCGCGAGTCCCCAACCGGGAACCTCGGAAGGGTTCACCACCGTCGCGCGCGGGAAAAAACGCGCCCGCGCCGTGGAACCGTCCGCGGCGCCGAAACAGCCAAAGGCCGCGAACGCGTCGCGTCCTAAAGTCGTGGTCTCACCCGACTCCCCTCGCCGCGCAACCCCGTCGCCGCGACCCCAACCCGCGTCCGTCCGCAAAATTCCCGCGCCGCCGCCGGTAATTTTGCAAGATAAGACCGCGTGGGATCGCGTATCCCGTGCCTGTAAGGCACAAAACGTCAACGTCATCCATGCGCGTAACATCGCGCACGGCATNCTCGCACCTACAGCGGGCTCTCAATGTGTCTGGCAAGATGTAAGAACCATTAAAACTGTCCGGCTCTTGGGGTAACATATTTTTATAAGTCCCTAAGTAACATATATAAAATTTAGCTTTTATAGTATAACGAAAGTATAATTAAAATTTATTAAAGTTTAGGGGTGTCTGGCAGAGGGTAACAACTGGAAAAAGTGTCCGGCAACGGATATCGTGATTTCTAAAGATATTCTGGAGTAAATATTAAAAAAAAAACCTTTATACTTTAACGAATTTAAGGTACTATTTTATATACCTTTACTGCCTGTTACCTGCCCAAGTAACCACAATCGAAACTCTATAATCGCGAGTCGTTCTTACCTGTGTTGGAGACATACACAGAGAAACTTTCAGCTTTTATAAAATAACGAAGGTCTGGCTGTCGCGGGCTCTTGGGCTAATAATGTTGCTTATAAAATCCATGTCTGAACTAAGCTCGCCTTACCGTTAACGTTAATATAGAAAACAGCTCTTTATTTAACCCACATGTACCCTAGAGATACAATCATTCCGGGGCCCCTTAAATAAAATTAAAATGTTTGGCAATATCGCGGCTTAGTTGACAGGGGCTTATGAAACACCAAGGGGTCGCGACACGGAGCTTGAGAGCCACTGGTACGAATCATAATAACGAAATTTAAGGCGATTCCAAAATACAATATATTAAAAACGGCAAACGTTGCGAACTGACCAATTCCTTTAATGGTTCTGATTGCCGTTCATAGAGTTAGTATTTTAACTTATTAACTCCACGTTGCCGTTATAGAGGAGTAGTGATTCGCCTGATAGTATGTGATTACAGACATATTTAGATTTTCGGTTCATTGCTATATACAAATGCAAGGTGCTAGTGTTCTGAAGCACCGATACGACAGCATGCGGCATTGTACCTTTTAAGACATAAGTCCAAGTGTAGGATCTCTTCGCCGCGCTGAGGATTCCAGCACTTAGAAGAACTTTTTATTGGCTTTATAGGCAGTAGTAGTAGTAGTAGTTTAGTTGTTGTTGTTGTAGGTACAGCCCACCAAAGGAAAATGGTCATCGTCTCCTATATACATTAACAACGCTAATAGAATAGCCAAGCTGAGGCTTATAACTTTTCCTCATCATTATTATCCTGCCCTTCTTCCAGTTACCTGGGGTCGGCGTAACATGTTTTCTCCTTCCATACTCTTATAACTTTTCCTAGTTCACTATAAATTAATATTAAGTTACTAGCTGATCCGGCAGACTTCGTAGTGCCTGAATCGATAAATAAAAGACCTAATCTTTTGTATAAAATAAACTTAAAACAAACAAAAGGAATCCGTCCGATGGGGGACACATGAAAGGAAAAACAAAATTGTTATTTTTATTTAATTCCGATCATTTGCATATTTATCTATCTTTTAAACCTTCTCTGGACTTCCACAAATAATTCAAGACCAAAATTAGCCAAATCGGTCCAGCTGTTCTCGAGTTTTAGCGAGATTAACCAATTCATTTTTATATATATAGATATATAAATTACTCACTTCTTTTCGTGTGTAAGAATTGATTCTTTCAATGTCTTCTTGCTAGTTCTCGTCGATGATTTTATGTTGAATAGAGTGAGTCCAAAAAATACCATGTTAGATATAGTTATGATTAGAAGAGGCATGTGCACGTAGTACGTCAATGCTTGATCTGTAATTGTAACTAATTTAATACATGTTATAAAGTGTGCAACTCACTAAACACATTTAGATAATAAATAAATAACTGGGAACAATGACGCAAGGTCATCTGGCCCCAAATTAGGATTCCCTGTGTTATGGGTACCAAAGACTGACGTACATATTAATATACGTTTAAATATATACATAAATAAATAAATAAAAAACTTCAGAGGTGTCAAGGGACACCCGGATGGAACGAAGTTCCTTTCGATTAATTAGGTAGTGAAGGAATTGTAATTTTTTTTTTTAAGTTATAATGATAAATTACGGCATTATGAAGAAGAAAAAAACAATACTATGAACTAAATTACTATTGTTGAAACGCTATCTCGAGAAACTGTACTCATTACGCGGACCAATCGGATACGAGCAATGTCACGCGATAAGCGCCTACACGTTGATTGGTCAGGATGACGGATCTAAAAAGTGTCGTGACAACTTTTCGTAAGAATTTTTTCCGTCTAGCCCCCTTTCACAACGCGCGATAAGGAACTTCGTTCCAATTACCAGATAAGGAATAAAAAAGTCTGTTTATCAAACGAATGTTTGCCCGATCTGGGAATCGAACCTACGACTCTGGGCGCAATAATTAGGGCCGTTAATTGCTACACTGGCAAGATAGTCAGTTATATTCAATTTTAAAATATTCTCCATTTCACATGGAAACTTATTTAATTTTAAAAACTGATTATACTGAACAGTTACCTATGTGTTTAAATAAAAAATAATAATAACAATATTAGTTGCTTCCATTTTGCGTTAAGCTTATCCGAAAGCAAACGCGCAAGACTAACTGATCACTGATCAATGGATATCATAATTTTACAAAACATAACAAATAACCTAATTTATAACCTAACCTTTGCCAATTAACTCTGCCAATGCCGGACCGGTTCAGTTGAAGTTCGAACTTTCAACCGTAAAAGAGTCAACGACGAATGTCTGGCGGTGGTTAATGAGCCGGACCCAAATAAAGCTTCAGCGGCCTCCAAGAACTAAATCTCTTCCAAAAGCACTGCGGTGGAAGGACGCGGGAAGCTACCATGTGTATTTTCCCAAGAAAGCTTCACGAGGCCACGACCCTCAGCATTGAGGATTATTGAAGCAAGGAGGAGGAGAAAGAACCAAACCTACCCTGAATAGTGTATCTTAAGCTATTACTTATTAAATCCGGTCACCGTCCTCGTCGAACCCGTCGCTTGCGACGAAGGGCTCGACGAGCGTATTAACCCATAGACACAGCCCACTGAGTTTCTCGCCGGATCTTCTCAGTGGGTCGCGTTTCCGATCCGGTGGTAAATTCTGCGAAGTACTGCCCTTGCTAGGGTCAGTGTTAGCAACTCTTCGGTTTGAGCCCCGTGAGCTCACCTACCAACGTTAGGGTGAAGCTGAAATAGCCTCTCAAGGCTATCAGCATAGGTAGGAAAAAAAAAACTTATTGAAAAGAATTTGCATAAACTGCCTGCCTTCAAGATTTCTCAGCATTGTTTCTGCTAAGGTAATTCCTATTACGGCTATTTTACAGACTATAGCAAAAGTAGCCTCTCAGCTTTTATTGAACTGAGTACATTTTTAGTTAGGGAAGGTAAATAGTTACAATAAACTAAGCTGAAGCCATTGCAAACATGTAAATCTATATTCTGTTTATTATTCGTTTAATTATTACCAGTTTGTTATTTCCCAATGATAACAGCAGGTGAGTATGACGCAATGTGATGCCATTTATTATTCGTCCACTTCTATTGTAACATCGATGCGTCATTATAAATAAAATTGTTATTATTAAGGGAAAAAATACCGCCTTCCAACAGTAGATTTTGTAGAAATTTGACAAGCGGCAAATATTTTGGTTGAGAAATTTTAATTTAAAATAGAGAACGCGAGGCCGAAATAACATTGTCATCAACAAAGAAGATGATTGGCGCATAACCACTTTTAACACTTTTATGGTGAAAATGAAACTGAAAGACAAATTGCCATACCTTTTTTTATTGCTTAGTTGGGTAGGACGAGCCCATAGCCCCTATGGTGCTAAAGTGGTAACTGGAGCCCATAGACATCTACAACGTAAATGCGCCACCCACCTTGAGATTTATGTTTTAAGGTCTCAAGTATAGTTACAACGGCTGCCCCACCCTTCAAACCGAAACGCATTACTGCTTCACGGCAGAAATAGGCAGGGCGGTGGTACTTACCCGTGCCGACTTACAAGAAGTCCTACCACCAGTAAAAGGTTACCTTAAGATACCCTTAGTCGGTTCTACGTTCTTCTTTCCCTACTTAATTATTGGTAGCCTAAGGGCTATTCCAACTACGCACGATTAAGTGAGCTCACGGGGCTCAATCTATAAGGAATGGTAACACTAGCTGTAGCAGTGCTTCGCTGAATATTACACCAGATCTGATTCGCGACTTACTGATAAGATCCGACAACAATCTATGTCTAAGGGCCAGGTTGTACATCGAACTCTTCGTCGCATTCGACAAGTTCGATGAAAACGGTGACCGATGTTTGGGGTAACTAGGAGCACGGAAAGTAGATCGGGAGCATCTCATAGTTCATGTTAGGACGACGTCGGCCCTGCGTTGTACCGTTGCCTGGGAGATATAATTTGGAATTCTACGTGCAAGGAAATGCAAAGATCAATAAATGATTATTATAAATCACTACAATAGACTCTTAATCCCTAATCGATGTCTTGATTTTGAAAAAGTTAACTTGACATTTCACAAAATGCCAAATTCGCAAAACGCGTCCTAATCTGTGTCGCACCTCTGTGAATAGATACCTATTGTTTCTGGATAAATTCAGGACTGAGCAAACGATTCTAGATGAAAGTGCACTGCTATAGTGCCTTACGTACCACAGTGCCTTAACCACCAAACAGACATATTTAGATTTGGACTTGTTCTAATAATCAGCGAACCGTACATTTTTAAAATTCTAGCTACTAGAGGATTCTTTTGGTCAAGTGGTTTCGAAACGCAAAAATAAATATTTTGTTCATTTTGACTTTACTTTGATATTGTTTTTTAATTGATTTAATGTACATAATATTTTTAAACATTATATTTAAAAAAAAATTATAACATTCTGCATTCCTTCTCTATATTCCATAGAAGTGTGGGAAATTTCATAATCCTCCGTCGGCGCAATTTTCGTAAAAAACGGGTACAAAGTTTTTGCTTTACTTATTAATAAATAGATATAGATAAGTTCAAATATTATTTACCCGAATAAAAGCATAAATGTAATTCGGGGCTTCTAAACTTGTATTTCATGCCCAAGCTCAGTAGATCGATGCACAAAGCGATCGATGACATAACGAGCGGTATTCCGACAGCGTACAGACACCACATGCAGAATTGTTTTCGTTTACGGGAAGTTCGGCCGCTCATGCTAACCGTTAGAGATTTGAAGCTTCTGCAACAAAAAGTTCATTGTTATGTGGGGGGTGAGCAAGTCGACTCGCACATCTCATCACAGCTTTTTTTTTCCTACCTATGCTGATAGCCTTGAGAGCCTTTTTCAGCTTCACCCTAACGTGTGTAGGTGAGCTCACGGGGCTCAAACCGGAGTGTTGCTAACACTGATCCTAGCAATCAGCTTGATTATTATTTATGGTCAGTTTTAGAGAGTACGGCTTGCTCTAAACGCCATAATTATTTGGAGTCCTTGAAACAATCCGTACGATTGGCAGTGAAAAATTTTCCCATGGAAAGAGTGCGTACTTCTATTAATTACTGGCTTCAACGTTTAAAGGACTGTATTGCAGCGAAGGACACTTTTTTTTTCCTACCTTTGCTGATAGCCTTGGGGGGCTATTTCAGCTTCGCCTTACATTTAAGTGAGCTCACGGGGCTCAAACCGGAGTGCTGCTAATACTGGCCCTAGCAAGAGCAGTGCTTCGCAGAATCTACCACCGGATCGGAAACGCGACCCACTGAGAAGATCCGGCGAGAAACTCAGTGGGCTGTGTCTCAGCACCGAAATCATACGATTTTACGTCACATCAGGTGATCCGAGTGCCGTGTGCAAAACCAGTTAAACCACGCCCCACACGTCCTTACGGATCCATCAGATCCAATAACCTTTGCATTAGACGCCTTCAGCTCTAACACTAGGAGCAGGCTTAGGGACCTCGGTAACCGTACTCGTCGAACTCGACAAAGAGTTCGCCGTGCAACCTAAACCATGAATCAGCTCGCTGAGTTTCTCGCCGGATCTTCTCAGCGGGTCGCGATTCCGATCCGGTAGTAGATTCATTCGCGAAGCAGCTACTCTTGAGNCGTCGTCCACAGTCGAGTTCGAGGCGAAGAGTTTGACCAGAAGGTCAGCCTTCTCTTTCGCACTATGGGCCAGACTGTCATCGGACTTGCGTAGTGGTGGGAGACTAGACCTGCAAAAGTTACCTTCTGCAGCTTTGGCGAGCGACCAAAAAGCACGGCTCCCAGAGGGATAGCTCTTCAGTCGCTCGCCAATTCTAGCAATCTAATAATACAATCAGACTTAAGTATGTATATTATGGTAAGACCTCTTGGAAGTCCGCACGGGTAGGTACCACCTCCCTGCCTATTTCCGCCGTGAAGCAGTAATGCGTTTCGGTTCGAAGGGTGGGGTAGCCGTTGTAACTATACTAAGACCTTATATCTCAAGGTAGGTGGCGCATTTACATTGTAGATGTCTGTGGGCTCCAGTAACCACTTAACAGCAGGTGGGCTGTGAGCTCATCCACCCATCTAAGCAATAAAAAATAAAAAATAAAATGAGCAGTGTGGAGTCTACGCTTCTGGGTATATTTTCAAAATGAAATAGGGTAAATACCTGAATTTTTGCCAAATATGATATGACCCGACGTTTATCCAGAATATGTTGCTCAATATTACGAAGTATTTGACAGTACCTGAAAGTAGAACTTCGCTTATTTACTTATCCGAATTTGGCTTTTATAGAAAAACTAGCGGCCCGCTCCGGCTCCGCTCGGGTGTTTAACAAAAATTTCAACGATATTTGACGCTGTTTTATTTTTTAAAATAAAAGAACGGCATAACTATAATAGTTAGACATATGCTGTCGCGTCACTTTTTGTAAATAATAAGTTCTACAAAGTCGTAGTACATTATTTTATACTATCATCAATAGTTTTCGCAGGGCACGCGATGTAAAGAATATTTTAGGTAATTTATTTACACCTTGGGTTACATTATTGGAGTTTTAGTAGGGATCCCTATTTTTTTTTAAAAAATATTATTGTCTATGTCACTCGGGAATAGTGTAGCTTCCAAACAGTGAAATAATTTTTCAAATCGGTTTAGTACTTTCAGAGCCTATTCAATACAAATAAACAAACAAATCCGTCCTCTTTATAATATTAGTATAGATATAGAAAAATATAGGGTGTGAATTAACGAAAAATTTAACTATTTTTAAATTTACAGATATTTAACATATAGATAACATAGAACATACCTAACCAACTGCAATATTTTGTCAATGTGCTGATTAGTTGAATCAAATACATTATGAAGAGGCTTATCATCTGCGCCATAAAAGCTTTGTCTTTGTTAATCTTGTATTTACCAATTAAGAAATTAATTATAATACCTAACAAAAGAAATACGCAGCTTGTTGCGTGTGCTGAAAAAGAAGTCATCATTATTAGAATTGAATTCCAAACAGTGGCGTCTGTAACAAAATGCGGTAAGTTCATAGATCTGTCGTGTCAGGATGAGGCAGGGTCAAAAATTAGGACCACTAAGCTTAGATATTGTAAGCCTAAAGCCGTCTAAGATACCGTTAGATCATAAGTTTATTGGTTTTAATTTCCGTCTCCATATTTTTGTTTTCTTTTTTAAAGCTGTATATCCACATCTCTTTCTGACTTAATATATAATAATAAAAAATAATAATAAAATCTATTGCCTTTCACATCAAATAAAATAAAATACAAATAAAAGAATTGCCTATGCCTGCCTATTTCTGCCGTGAAGCAGTAATGTGTTTCGGTTTGAAGGGTGGGGCAGCCGTAGTAACTATACTGAGTCCTTATATCTCAAGGTGGGTGGCGCGTATACGTTGTAGATGTCTATGAGCTCCAGTAACCACTTAACACGAGGTGGGCTGTGAGGTCGTCCACTCATGTAAGCAATAAAAAAAAGAAAAGAAAAAAAAAGAGAAAAAGACAAAAGAAGGTGGCTCAGCTAATGCTGTTCAAGGTCGATAAATCGAACAGCGCTGATTTTCAGTCACCCCCCTTTCTCTTTGGTTCTTTGCGGGAATGAAGGCTAGGTACGTGTGTACAGACTTAGAACATGGTACAAAATAGTATAAAAAAAATAAGAAAAAAACAAAACAAATATAAAATTAAATAGTGAATCCGAATGCAAAACATACATTAGCACACACAGTAATAACAACCTGTGGGCAGGGCAACCACAATCTCATATATGCAACAGTGACAAAAATTTCCATGAAGTGCTATTAATAATGGCTGCATTTAGGTTCAACTTCACGTAACAAACGCTGCATGAATGAGCAATTAAACCCAAACACACATTTTTATAATTTAAACTACTTTTACGATATCATTTCACGTTTATTTAAATTTCCGAAAGTAAAAATCATTAATATATTCTATCTATCTTGGGCGTATTTAGGCAGTATGTTACCTAAGTCGAACCCTGATGATATGATCTTTAGCAATGGTTACCCCGTAAAATAGTGATTCGTTATAACTACTATTGTTATCAGAACACTGGTGCGCTTTAACCCATAGACACAGCCCAATGAGTTTCTCGCCGGATTGTCTCAGAGGGTCGCGTTTCCGATCCTGTGGTAGATTCTGCGAAGCACTGCTCTTGCTAGGGCCAGTATTAGCAACACTCCGGTTTGAGCCTCGTGAGCTCACTTAAATGTAAGGCGAAGCTGAAATAGCCCCCCAAGGGTACCAGCATAGGTAGAAAATGTACGCTCTGATCAGAAGGTTAGGAATTTTTTTTACATACCATCGATACTTCAAATTTATAATGCTTAGACGGTCAGAAACATTCGCCTTGAGAAGCTATGGACTCCACTTTACCACTATTCAACCCACTGAGTTTTTCGCCGGAGCTTTTCAGTGAGTTGCTATTCCGATCCGGTAGTAGATTCAGCGAAGCACTCTTTCTAGCACTCTTTCTAGCTCTTTCTAGGGCTAGTGTTAGCAATTCTCTCAGGTAGAGCTCGGGAGCTCACCTACCGATCCGCGTGAAGTTGGAGTAGCCCCTTATGCTATCAACTAATAGGTAGGAAATAAAACCCACCATTACTTATACAAGAAAAGATCCTTCATCTATATAGTTAAAGTCACCTATATAGTCCTTCATTTATATAGTCCTTCCTATATAGTCCGTCATCTATATAGTCCTTCATCTATAAAGTTAAAAGATCCTTCATCTATTCGTTCCCGCGGGAGGAAATCTATTATATAGTTAACTTACCTATTGTTTGCAATATAACCTGTAATGATGTGAGTTCAGCATTCGATATATCACCACGAACAAAATATACCGGACTCAATCCATTCTTTTTTATAATGTCATAACAGAATGTCAACATTTCGTACTCCTGCCATCTTTTATCGGAAAATTCGAATAGGGCTTCTTTGGCGAGCTTACCGTTCTGTAGAGAAATAAAAATTTTGTTGAAATAAAGAAAAAAAATAGCTTAGTTAGCTGCCACTTAATAGTGGCAGCTAACTAAGCTATTTTTTTTCTGTTATCGTCCTACGAGTTCGCCATTAGGCGATAACATTCTACCTATGCTTAAGGGATGGTGAGATGTTTTCTAACGCCATAAACAATATGAATTGGGTTAATTTTATAAGTTGACTACTGTTCCCGTCCGCTTCGCTGGGCATTTAAAATTAACTGTATCATTTCTCACCCCCACAAAGATTCTCATCATTAACGCTCCCGCAACTGGTCTAGGGAGTTCAACACTTATATAAATATTAACCTATCCTTTAAGTACATGTATTTTCTACATGGATACCAAGTTTCAAGTCAATCGAATGCATGGTTCAGTAGTTATAACGGAACATCCGTAAAAACCACTGTAGATTTATATATTACAATAAATTGATGCAACCCTGACAATATAGTTTACCTCTAAATTGTAATGTTTCAGAGACCTAGGATGCCACTGGTGATGGTAACAGTTTCTGTCTAGGTAAGTCTTGCTGTGCACCAGTTGGAAATTCTTAAGCGTGGTATTTGTGGCGGCCGTTCCGTTCTTGTAACCATTGCCATAGAACTTCATTAAACGATCGTTCTCCTCATTTGTGTCAGTTTTCACGCAAATTACAACGTTTGATTTGCCTTCGGGTCTCGTTGAGAACATTTCGTCTTTTTCGCAACACTTCGCAAGACAGGGTTCCTTTGGCGAGCATTCTTTTGCATCGAACACTTCCCCGGTGAGAAGATCCGTGAATTCAGTAACACACACTTTCGGATATGTATATCTCGATTGTAAAATAATCAGAAAGAAAACTTTTAAATGCATTTTTCAAAATAACTACACAGCCAATCATCTGTTGTCGTAAACGGCTCATTTCGGTTTGCTCAAAATAAGTTTAAACTAAAACAGGATAATTGACGAGGATAATGGTTTTACATTAGCTAGGCATGCAGGCTTTACCCGCGACTATGTTCGTTTTTCTGTGGTCGTTCACGAAGTGATGTCAATAGTAATTTAAAAAATATATATTAATAAATTTGTAATTTTGATTCTCTGTCGCATGACCCCGTTGTGGATTAAACCTTTATAGGGATCAAGCTTAACTAATTCCTTGGTTCGTTGAGAGATTTAGAAACTGGTATTTTCTCTACCTACAGAGTCACTACGTCATTTTATAAGAAAATAAAACTTACGTTGCTGTAAATATAACAAATAGACATAATAGTATGTAGAATAAATCGACCAGGAATGCGAAATAACAGACAGATGCTCTTGGTGAAGATATACATCGCCATTGAATACAGAAACATCGAAAAAATCTCTATATATAAAAATGAATTGCTGTTCGTTAGCCTTGCTAAAACTCGAGAACGGCTGAACCGATGTGGCTAATTTTGTTCTTGAATTATTTGTGGAAGTCCAGAGAAGGTTTAAAAGGTAGATAAATACGAAAATGCTCGGAATTAAATAAAAATAACAATTTTGTTTTTTCTTACATGTGTCCCCCGTCGGACGGATTCCTTTTTTTTGTTTTAAGTTTATATTATACAAAAGCTTAGATATTTTATTTATCGATTGAGGCACTACGAAGTTTGCCGGGTCAGCTAGTAGCTAATAAATAAAGTAACTACATAGTAATGTATAATCTAATAGTTTGGGGTTTTTCACTTTAGAGATAAACACCAACTACAATACGCATTATATTAAGGAACTATTCATACGTAATCATGAACGCTATACGACCGAAATGATGAGCTGTCATTTATTGACCTCAAATGACGTCACTTGTAATGAAGTTGCGTTCAGCTGAGTTTTGTGGGGCCATATTGGACAATAAGAGCTCTTTTTTTTTTTTCCTACCTAAGCTTAACTAGTAGGTGAGCTCGCGGGGCTCAAACCTGACGACGTTGCTAACACGGACCCTAGCAACAGCCGTGCTTCACAGAATCTACCACCGGATCGGAAACGCGACCCACTGAGAAGATCCGGCGAGAAACTCAGTGGGCTGTGTCTGAGGGTTAATTTACTCGTCGAGCCCTTCGTCGCAAGCGACGGGTTCGACGAGAACGGTGACCAGTGCTTGAGGTACCTAAAAAGCACCGTTTATGGATCGGGAGGATCCGAGATGACGTGTTTCGGGCGACGTCGACTGCTTTCCATTCTTTCCGCAGGATCGGGAATGTAGTTACCGGCGGCCACGATGAGAGGATTCTCGTGTCGTGCCGCTTTATCGAAGTGTAAGAGCTCTTGGTTGTTCTAGTTGCATCTGAGAATTACTTTAAGAGGCACAAAGTTGGATTAGTTCATTCAAATTATTTATTTTTATGAATTAGATTCAACAGACAAACTCCGCTTCACGTACTATTAAATAGCCCGCTTATAATATCGCAGTTCTTAGAAGTCATGATGCATTCTACGGTCCACTTTGAACGTGAGGTTGAAGTCGTCGTGGCCTAAAGTACAAAGACGTCCGGTGCATTCGTATTGAGCGATGCATCGGTGTTCGAATCCCAGGCGGGTACCAATTTTTCCAATGAAGTACGTACTCAACAAATGTTCACGATTGACTTCCACGGTGAAGGAATAACATTGGTTTTTATTTAATTTTTTTTTTATTGTTTAGATGGTTGGACGAGCTCACAGCCCACCTGGTGTTAAGTGGTTACTGGAGCCCGTGGCTTGGCTCTGCACCTGGCATTGCTGAAGTCCATGGGCGACGGTAACCACTCACCATCAGGTGGGCCGTGCGCTCGACTGCCTACAAGGGCAATAAAAAAAACTTTGATTACTATTAGACAAACCGTAAAAGTAATTTTAATTACTAACTAAATTAATTTATTCCTTCACCGTCGCAGGTATCCGTGAAAGCTCGTTGCTACGTTTAAATTTAAAGCACTAAGCACACTGCACGTTTTCTTTGTATTCTTTATTTTAACATATAACCACCCGGGTGTTCATACGGTAGAGGACTTTTTGGCGGGAACACGAGGAGTGAAGTTGTGTGATTTGTTTTAATTTGTCTATTTAGTGTTTCTTCAGGTTTAAATGTGTAATAATGGTGGTTTATTAACTGTTTGAAATCTGTGAAAGTGCACAAATGTGGGAAAATAAAACAAAGCCGCTGTACGTAACTTTTCGGGATCCTCCAAAAAGTCCACCATTTTACTGAGATTATATGTCATCCCATATCATCTCATCTTATTTCATTTAATTTCATCCCAGTTGATTAATGTCTCAAATTAATCATCTTCATTTCATTTCATTTCACTCCATACATTATTGATAAAAATAAGAATAGGTATGAATTAAAATAAGACATGACTTAAAGGTCTTAGTTATCAGGTCATAAAATCACTTAAAAAAATCATACGGTAGATTTTCATCCGAGTAAAAAGGGACGTGTAAACGAGAAAGAGATATATTATGCGCTACTCCAACATTAAAGTTTATTCGATTTGCTTGACAAGTCCGTTGAGTATTCGTTTAAACGCATAAGCGGTGTACGTTTTTTTTATTGCCCTTGTAGGTAGACGATCATACGGCCCACCTGATTACCGGTGAGTGGTTACCGTCGCCCATGGACTTCAGTAATGCCAGGGGCAGAGCCAAGCCGCTGCCTACCGCTTAATACTCTCCACAAGCCTCGTTTGAAGAAGGACATGTCATAGCGCTCGGGAAACACCGTGGAGGGGAGCTCATTCCATAGCCGGATGGTACGTGGCAAAAAAGATCTCTGGAAACGCACTGTGGATGACCGCAGTGGCTCCAGGTAGTTTGCAGTAGGTACTAACGACATATTGGGTATTATTCTATGTACAATTGTGCTTAGTGTACGTTTTTTTAACGTTCTCGATAGCGTAAAAGTTAACCTAAATTTGTATGCAGTTGGAACAGCGCCCCTAACGGCAAGTAAAAGTTAACCTAAATTTGTAAGCAGCGCCCCTAACGGCAAACGTAGGCAAACGATCCCATTCCATACAAATGCGAGCTAGCTTATAAGCTATCCAGAGCGTTAAAAAACTCTCACTAAGCACAAATGTGCCACTATTCATTCATTATGACATATACTGAAAATAAACGTGCAGGACAATGCACCACCGAGTCTGTGAAAGGAGGGAGGTAGAGGATATTTTAACTGTCAAACCTGTCAAAGGCTGTTAGTTTTAAAATTAATAAAAAAAAAACACAATACTTAAACGATTTACTGTTTTTAATTAATGTATATACACAGGTTATAAGAGGTCGGTAAGAAAATGTTAACTATGAATGTGGAAGGAATATGAAGGAATAGGATATAGAGGAAGAGGTAGACCTAAGAAGAAATGGATGGATTGCGTGAAAGACGTTATGGGTAAGAGGGGAGTGAGCGAAGAAATGGTATATGATAGAAGAGTATGGAAGGAGAAAACATGTTGCGTCGACCCCAGGTAACTGGGAGAAGAGCAGGATAATGACGATGAAGAACTAATGCATATACACAAACACTTCATACTTAAGCTACTTTGACAAAGTATATTATTATGCGCCCTTACAATAACTTTAGGAAAAATCACTTACTACGTTAAAGAATTATGGTATGTACATTTTTAATAACTGTTTATTAAGGATTTTTGGGTAGATAGGCGAAACACATAGACATCGAAAAATGAATGCCCATGCGATAATAACACATTATCTATATATTAATACTCGAAGGAAAAACTTTGTATCCCTTTTTACGAAAATTGCGCGGACGGAGGAGTATGAAATTTCCCACACTTATAGAGAATATAGAGAAGGAGTGCAGAATGTTAATTTTTTTTTTAAATTATGCCTAAAAAATACATTAAATCAATAAAAAGAACATTACACAAACTACCATGTATTTGACGCACACACGCATGCATACTATTTGTCATAGATTATACACTTAATATATTTGAGACTACCTATTTGTTTATTGTCAAACTTTTATTTGCAGTCTGTCAGTTATAGTCTGTCAAATGGAGAATAGATTAAATATTGTTTTTTCTTTATTAATATTTGTCTAAAGTGTAGTTTTGACGAAATCTGTGATTAAAGGAGTATTTAATAGTCTTTGACAATAGAATGCTAATCGTGTACAAACTTATAATTTCCATTAGTTATACTCGAATTTCGACTACCAGGGGACCACCAGTATATAAAAAGTGTTGAAAACTTCATACTCCTCCGTGCGCGCGGTTTTCGTAAAAAGTTGTACACAGATTTTGCTTCACGTATTAATATATAGATAAAGCTTATTTAAATACAACAATACAATAGATAATACAATAGAGGTATCCATTTTTTTCGTTTAATATCAAGTAAGGGGTGCCGCTCTTTTTGTATCTATTTTTTTTTACTTTCAAAGTACACTTTGAAATCGAAAACTCTATGATCAAAATAGTACAAGTACAGATGTTTTCAATTAAATCTAAAGTGACTAAAATCTAACTAAAACTAAAGAAGCTAAAATATTTTATCATAACCCATGAAGAATAAACGCGGTACAGGACTATTTCAATAATCTTACAGTATTTGGTATTAACAAGATGACCTGTTAATCTTACGGGTTGTGTTGGTAAATGATCATTTTTTTAATTTGTTCCTGAACGTGAAAATCTTCCTGGTTTTTTTTATTGCCTATGTAAGCAGACGAGCATATGGCCCATCTGATGGTGAGTGGTTACCGTCGCCCATGGACGTCAGCAATGCCAGGAGTAGAGCCAAGCCGTTTAATACTCTCCACAAGCCTCGTTTGAAGAAGGACATGTCATAACGGTCGGGAAACACCGTGGAGGGGAGTTCATTCCAAAGCCGGATGGTACGTGGCAAAAAGATCTCCGGAAACGCGCTGTGGATGAACGCAGTGGCTCCAGGTAGTATGAATGAACTCTACTCCGGTGGCGGGCGGTGCGATGGTACAAAACGAGATGATGATATCACCTTTTTTTTTATTGTTTAGATGGGTGGACGAGCTCACAGCACACATGGTGTTAAGTGGTTACTGGAGCCCATAGACATCTACAACGTAAATGCGCCATCCACATTGAGATATAAGTTCTAACGTCTCAAGTATAGTTAAAACGGCTGCCCCACCCTTCAAACCGAAACGCATTACTGCTTCACGGCAGAAATCTCAAAAAATTCCTCATAGCACTCAGAGCATATTTTTTTATTGGGCAAGATTTTCGCGCATGTCGCGTTTTGTTCAGTTCGAAGATCGGCTCATTTCTATTTGAAGATATATCTTAAGTGCTCTTTTCGATAGGCCCCTTTGGGATTGAACAAACCAAAGGCAAGGAAGTCTCTTGGCTGCTTCCGTCTGACGTGCTGCTGTCTGATTCGTAGCTCTTCGACGCCGGAGCCCAACGCTTCTTGTTCGGCAATCTGAAACGTACCAAACCGGTTTAATGTAGTCGAAGGTAAAGCCCCTGAAACAACGATGCTTTAAGACAAATATATTTTTTCTGTATGAAAACTAGCGACATCTTGTAGCGGTTGCCCCTAAACTTTATGTTGTTAAAGTTAAGGCATCTAATTATGGTATAACTAAATACAGAAAATAAAAAATCATATGTATATGTCTATATTTGTTATTGACAAATTGATATTAAATTTTATCAATTTATGTTCTCTGAAAATTTACAAAATCCTTCATAAAAATAGATAATATTGCCATCTACAGGAGCAATGAGAAACTAATCTAGTGGCCGACGCCTGGTAATATGTTTGTTGAGTCCTTGATTTGTTTGTCTATAGCTAATTTACGTGTATTATCTATACGTTATACAAATAATTAGTTATCTATATATATAAAAATGAATTGTTGTTCGTTAGTCTCGCTAAAACTCGAGAACGGCTGGACTGATTTGGATAATTTTAGTCTTGAATTATTCGTGGAAGTCCAGAGAAGGTTTAAAAGATGAATAAATATGAAAATGCTCGGAATTATATAAAAACAAATAATTTTGTTTTTCCTTTGATGTGTCTGTCAGCCGTCGGACGGATTCCTTTTGTTTATTTTATACAAAAGTTTAGGTCTTTTATTTATCGATTGAGGCACTACGAAGTCTGCCGGGTCAGTTAGGTAGTTTATTATAAAAAAAAATAGCCAGACCAACGAAGCGTAAATCGGAGGCCTTCAAATATTTTTAGTAAAAAACTTTAAAAATCAATAGTCTTATTTCAAAATACTAACTTTTTCATGAGTTTCCTTAGTATTTTCTTCTTGAAAACGAAGATGAGGAATATGAACAAGCCGACCATGACGTTGTATAGGTCGCTAACTTTGAAGATTTGAAGCTCGGGGAGTTGAGAACTAACCACTTCTAATACCCAGTTTATACCCATCACAATGGATAATTTTAAATACACCATAAACCTGCGGAAAAATAGCTCACGAAAATTATGATTATCTCATTCATCTTTTACTGGTGGTAGGACCTCTTGTGAGTCCGCACGGGTAGGTACCACCACCCCGCCTATTTCTGCCGTGAAGCAGTAATGCGTTTCGGTTTGAAGGGTGAGGTAGCCGCTGTAACTATACCGACACCTTAGAACTTATATCTCAAGGTGGGTGGCGCATTTACATTGTAGATGTCTATGGGCTCCTGTAACCACTTAACACCAGGTGGGCTGTGAGCTCGTTCACCCATCTAAGCAATAAAAATATTTTTTTACAATAAACAACTTTTTCTTTCAATCTTTCCTTTTATTTGTTGACCCTACCATCTGTCAGTGCAGGTACATAGACGTCATTTTCGATTCGTTTCTTTATTGGCGCGACTTATACTAATTAATAAATTTCTCGATGAACTAAATACTCGTAGTTACCTGTGTCTCTGAGTGCGATGCGCGTGTGGGTTTCCGGCAGCGGCCGAATCCAGGACAGCCGTACCGCGACTGAGCCGCCACACATTGAAAGCAGTCATCAGGAAGAACATCCAATTGCACATGATTAGAATCAGCATCGGTACGTAGAGGTATAACATTTTCTCGGGACCTGTTCGAGAAAATAACAGCAAAATTCGCTTTTATTTATTTACTTTTTTTGATAACGCCCTCTTGTTGTGTCTTTAAAGCGGCTAGTTGCCCTCAATTAAGAAAAATAGTATTATTATTCGCCAATAGATGTCGGGAAGAGTTGATTATTGAAAATAAATTGTAGCTAGATCGATTTATCGCCCCCGAAATCCCCTGTATACTAAATGTTATGAAAATCGTTGGAGCCGTTTCAGAGATTCAGATTATATATATACAAGAATTACTCGTTTAAAGGCCTCGATCAACAATAGTATTATTGATCGAAGTTTAAAGGTATAAGATTCATATTCATACATATAGCATTCTCTTCGGATTTCGCGATTCGTAGAGATAATTTTTACTAGTGGTAGAACGTTTTGTGAGTCCACACGGGTAGGTACCAGTACTCTGCCTATTTCTGCCGTGAAGAAGTACGTAATGGGTACCGGTATGAAAGGCGGGGCTCATATCTCAAGGTAACAAGGTGGCGACATTTATTGCAGTTAAATTATTGCCGAATAAACTAGAAAGTGTTAGAAACGAAGGGAATGAAATAATCCAAGGAAAAACCAGTAAAATAAATTCTAATTTTAACTAATATATTATTATATTTAATAATAAATATAATTTTAACTATGTAATGTTTACGTTTTTAAACTTTAAAACCAGTTGATGTGGATGGGTTTATCCAATGATAAAACTCGAAATCACTCCATTGACTTATTGAAGTTTTGTTATAAAAGTGCAAAAGGAACTTTGGTATAAGTTTTCCTAGGTAAATAGTTGTTTAAAATATGTCACCTATAACGATCGAATTCTTATCAACGGCCACCAATTCTATTATATACAACAAAATTAAAATGTGTATACTAACCTCCCATGAAGCAACCGTAGCGTACCAACTGTGGCTTGATTATCCAGGGCTGGTCGCTAAAGTCAACGAAATGCATGACAGCAAGGAGTATGGTCAGGACTAGAGGTACTCCAAAACCATACAAGCAGTACATTTGAAATTTGAAGATTTCACCGCGACGGTGAATCGATCTTGCTTTAGCGTATCCTCTGGAATTACAAAGAAAGAAATGTTTTTTTTTTTATTGCAGATGGGTGAACGAGCTCACAGCCCACCTGGTGTTAAGTGGTTAATGGAGCTCAAAGACATCTTCAACGTAAATGCGCCACACACCTTGATATACAAGTTCTAAGGTCTCAGTATAGTTACAACGGTTGCCCCACCCTTCAAACCGAAACGCATTACTGTTTCACGGCAGAAATAGGCAGGGTGGTGGTACCTACCCGTGCGGACACACAAGGGGTCCTACCGCCAGTAATCACTGATACTTCTCCAACTGACGCTGCTACTATGGAGTGGTAAAATCTGTTTTCCAGATGACATGACCCCGGTTATTATTATTACGTAGAAAGATCTCGTGTGATTGTGACAGCTTTTTTGATTTGTATTCATGATAAGTGGACCCTAGTGGTATTAGATTATCCTTTTCCGTTGTTATTTTCGTGTAATAAAAAATACAACAAATAAATAAAAACACAGGATTGACTACTTTTGACTTTCATTGTCTGCGCAATTCGCAAGAACACCACATTTGTATTTAGGCATTTATTTTGATTATTAGCTATTTATTTTTATGAAAAACTTATGATCACAGGGAAAGTTGAAGGCAACAGATCCAGAGGCCGCAACCCGACTCGTTGGTCCGATCAGATCCGCACCGCTTTGGACAGTACAGTGTACAGCGCGCTGCATGACGCCGTGGACAGGGGAAAGTGGAAAAACATCTTAAGATTGAAGCTCATCGGTGATGGTGGTCACGACCCTCAGACATGAGGAACACGATTCGAGGAGGAGGGGATTTATTTTTAATTGGAATTCAATTAGTTAGTATTTTATTATTTATCGTGATCGTTCGTAATATTATTATATTTACATGTTCGGTTGTGGTCACGCAGGAGGAAATTATTTATGGCTTAAATATCATAGCATGAACATAAAAGGATGTTATTATTGTGTACAAATACAAACCAACTATTAGTATAACATTTAATATATTATCAAGTTGACCTACATCATTAATAATACGAGAACGGTTGACCAAAACCAAAGCACCAGTTACTTTGTTTGTAATCTGATGTTTTGAAGTTTTATCCTCAAAGATAAGACATCTACTCGGCTCAAGCGAAGCCATTGTAATGTTTTTAAATCTCGCAGGCAGATAGGTACCAATGACCAATTTTTCGAATGTTATAGCTACGCACTTAGCACATTGTCGCGAATAACCTATAACGATGCAGCAATAATATCGTGTAATAAAAGTCAAACCGCCAAAAAATTTAATTTGCATAAATTACAGGCCGAAGGACTTATTGTAAAACCGCACGAGTAGATACCACCGTGCTGTTTATTCTGTCGCAAAGCGATAATGCATTTTGGTTTCAAGGGCGGGGCAGCCGTTGAGATTAGGGTTGCAACCCGTACTTAATAATAAAGTATTGTACGTTATTTCAGGTAATTGTACTTTATTGACTTTATTTGGCATGATTTGATTTCTTTGGGATTTTGAAAAGTATAGTCATATATATTTTTTCACTAAGCGAAATACATCGGTTGCTCATTCAACGTCGCCAATCGCCAACGCCACATGACCTAAGCACTCGTTTTTTAAGAAATATTTCTTAAGATTATTGAAAATTTAAATCTGCAAAAACTTAATGCAGATATATATGATCTATATCGAGAAATTTCTTTATTAAACCAATTTTATAAATGAGTTATGTACGTCTAGGGATTTTACTGAACTGTCAACTGCACAAAAATGGCAACAATGTTTAATACGAGCAATGATCATTTTTTGAACTTGTATAAAAAGTCATTTCATTTTTATTATCTATTCCCGCGACATTAGTATTCCCAAAGAGAGTTTTTTTTCTGTGATGAATAAACAAATGGCGAGACAATTTGATTAGAAACGAATTACTTATTTATTTTAATTTAAACATAGACTGTAAAGATGCTGTGCAATTGTTTAGTAGATATATTAATTTGATACAAATCGCAAAACGTAATAAACAATATGTATTTAAACAAAATAATAATAATAATAAATAAATTGTACCTACTTTTTTCCTACCTACCAATGTGCTTTATCTGCAAAAAAAGGTGGCAACCCTTGTTGAGATATCGATCTTATAGTTCAATTGGGGTGTCGCTATTCACGTGCTAGGTCTAGTGTTAGCAAGTCCTCTCAGGCTTAGCACCGTGAGCTCACCTACCATTTTTTTCCTACCTAAGCTGATAGCCTTGAGAGGCTATTTCAGCGTAACCTTAACTAGTAGGTGAGCTCACGGGGCTCAAATCTGACGACCTTGCTAACACGAATCTTAGCAAGAGCCGGGCTTCGCAGAATCTACCACCGGATCGAAAACGCGACCCACTGAGAAGATCCGGCGAGAAACTCAGTGCGCTGGGTCTGTGGGTTAATTTACTCGTCGAGCCCTTCGTCGTAAGCGACAGGATCGACGAGAACGATGAGCGGTGCTTGAGGTACCTAAAAGCACCGTTAGTGGATCGGGAGGATCCGAAATGACGTGTTTTGGGCGACGTCGACTGCTTTCCATTCTGTCCGCAGGATCGGGAATGCACCTTTTTTTTTATTTATTATGATTGAAGAATTACTGGTGGCCCGGAGGCCTTTCCAGTTTCACCAGGACAGGTGGGCGAGCAAAGGCTCAGCCAGGAGGGGTGGGATTTGCTAACAGCTATCCGAGCGCCTCCGAAGGAGACCTAACAGCTCAAGAGCAGCTGCTTCGCGAATGAATCTACTACCGGATCGGAATCGCGACCCGCTGAGAAGATCCGGCGAGAAACTCAGTGCGCTGGGTCTGTGGGTTAATTTACTCGTCGAGCCCTTCGTCGTAAGCGACAGGATCGACGAGAACGATGAGCGGTGCTTGAGGTACCTAAAAGCACCGTTAGTGGATCGGGAGGATCCGAAATGACGTGTTTTGGGCGACGTCGACTGCTTTCCATTCTGTCCGCAGGATCGGGAATGCACCTTTTTTTTTATTTATTATGATTGAAGAATTACTGGTGGCCCGGAGGCCTTTCCAGTTTCACCAGGACAGGTGGGCGAGCAAAGGCTCAGCCAGGAGGGGTGGGATTTGCTAACAGCTATCCGAGCGCCTCCGAAGGAGACCTAACAGCTCAAGAGCAGCTGCTTCGCGAATGAATCTACTACCGGATCGGAATCGCGACCCGCTGAGAAGATCCGGCGAGAAACTCAGCGAGCTGATTCATGGGTTAGGGAATGCACCTACCGAGCCGTGTGTAGTTGGAATAACCTCTTAGGCTGCCACCGATTAGATGGGAGAAAAAAGGGCGGCATTCATTCATAACATGTCTTCGCCAATGTTCACTATAAATAGTTTTGGAAAACAATGAGTATTTGTGCTTGCAGTTCAGTAAATGAATGTTGTTAAGCCGTTTACTTAGGCTTCGCATCCACGTTGCTTATTGTCTATAGCTTATATAATTTGAGGGGTAAAAGGTTGTTTGGTTTAGTGACGTTTCGCGACAATTATCTTTGTAATGAAAGGTCCGTTTTATTTTTGTATTAGTATCAACAATTCGATGTTTTGAATGAACTTCAATTATGTTTACTATTGTTTACCCTATTCAAATAGCCGAAGAGGTTTTATTTTATGGCAAGCGGCCGGCTCCGGCTCCGCTCGGGTCTTTAACAAAAATTTCAACGATATTTGACGTTGTTTTATTTGTTTTAAATAAAAGAACACTTATTGCAGCATAACTACAATAGTTAGACATATGCTGTCGCAACACTTTTTGTAAATAATAATGTGTTCTACAAAGTCGTAGTACATTATTTTATTCTATCATCAATAGTTTTCGCAGGGCACGCGATTTAAAGAATAATTTAGGTAATTTTTTTACACCTTGGGTTACATTATTGGAGTTTTAGTAAGGATACCTAATTTTTTTCAAAAAATATTGTAGCTTATGTCACTCGGGAATAGTGTAGCTTCCAAACAGTGAAAGATTTTTTCAAATCGGTTCAGTAGTTTCGGAGCCTATTCAATACAAACAAACAAACAAATCTTTCCTCTTTATAACATTATATAATATATCTTTATAATATTAGTATAGATAGTACAGATATTTTTTCCAAATTTAAACTTTAAATGGCTCTCCTATAGAGTTAAAAAAATGTCGTTTAAACCAAATAGCATTTTATACCTCGTTATAGTACGATCATAATACTACTACTATAATATGTACTATTGATCTCACCTAAATGTCCACCAAATGTCGTATGACATGATGTTCATCCAACAAAAACTTGCTATTAGACTGTAGTATATCACCATAGCTGAAACAATTTTTGAATTTATTGAAGACGATCCAGAGGTCGGAGCCGAGAAAGATGGAGTCACCAAGTGTCTGAGTATCTGGTCATGAGACTGAGCCACGCACTTCACTGTGCCACTGACCGACATATTATGTGGCTACAATTATTATGTGGGGAGCGCTCTGAGGAACCGTTCGGGATGATACCGTCATTTCGTTTTTACCATCGCACCGCCCGCCATCGGAGTAGAGTTCATCCATGCTACATGGAGCCACTGCGGTCATCCACAGTGCGATTCCAGAGGTCTTTCTTGCCACGTACCATCCAGCTATGGAATGAGCTCCCCTCCACGGTGTTTCCTGAGCGCTATGACATGTCCTTCTTCAAACGAGGCTTGTGGAGAGTATTAAGCGGTAGGCAGTGGCTTGGCTTTGCCCCTGGCATTGCTGAAGTCCATGGGCGACGGTAGATGACGAAAACGATCACTCTTGGCGGAGTGATCGTGTTCGTCATGTAGTATTGGAGGTAGATTTGAAGCATCTTACGATGTCCCGTCATCTCCTGTTCGAGGACATCTTTCTGCTCTCGTTTAGGGGATCTTCTACTGTATATATAATATTAGGGGGAGCGAAATAGTTACTGCCCAGAGTCGTTTTTATTTGCATCCATTCTTCCTTCAAACTTATTGTTGACCAAGTGTTTAATCATTCTCTAGTAATCGGTCAATATTTGGCGAATAAACGACAGCTAAGTAAATAGCGGTAGGCAATGGCTTGGCTCTGCTCCTGTCATTGCTGAAGTCCATGGGCGACGGTAACCACTCACCATCAGGTGGGCCATGTGCTCGTCTGCCTACAGGGGCAATAAAAAAAAATAGCTTAGTTGTTTAGCTTAAGCTTATGTTTGTTTTCTTGAGACAGAGATTGTGGTAAAGAGATTTAAATGTAAAAATTGTGCATTAAACGTTCCAGGTTCGATGTTGAATATTCCCCTGTGTTTATCAGGTACGCACACAAAATGACAGCGATAAACCAAACTCTTAAGCTAATAATTTTTGCCTCTATTGGATTCAGCTCAAAGTCAAAATCTGTAGCCTTAGGTACGTTTTTTTTTATTGCTTAGATGGGTGGACGAGCTCACAGCCCACCTAGTGTTAAGTGGTTACTGGAGCCCATAGGCATCTACAACGTAAATGCGCCACCCACCTTGAGATATAAGTTCTAAGGTCTCAGTATAGTTACAGCGGCTACCTCACCCTTCAAACCGAAACGCATTACTGCTTCACGGCAGAAATAGGCAGGGTGGTGGTACCTACCAGTGCGGACTTACAAGAGGCCCTACCAGCAGCTAAGACATCTGTTGTACATTAGCAAAACTCGTAGCTAACGTGTGCTGACGGACGAATAAAAAATCAAAGCTACATATTTTATTTATTTATGCAATTACTAGAGGTCATTTTGTGAGTTAGGACGGGTCGGCACGAACATTCTGACTTTTGCTGTCGCGAAGCAGACGAACATTCCGATCGAGACTGCCACTACACATCTCAATAAGGTTCATTCATTAGCATTCACTTTTCTTTGTCTCCACCTTATCTCACTTGTTGGGGTCGGTACAGCGAATCGTCTTTAATCCATTTTCCTCTATCAACCGTCAGTAAAAACACAGACTTATGGAGTATTATGAAGTATTAATTTGTATATAAATAGTTTGATACGGCTCGCGGGGCAACGTAACACAGATGAACACCACTGATAATCCATAGCTCTCTTAAAATAGTGAATATTAAAATTTAATAATGGCACGTGGGAAATTAATAAAAAATATGCAAAATGCCAATTAAGTGATATTCGAATATAAGTTTTTATAGATTTTACTTACTACTTCCAATGCAAGTGTTTGTTTTGTAGTTGATATCGAGCAGTATGATAGACAGCAAAAAGAAAGCGCACAATAGACTCCCTACATATGCCATCAGAATCAAACCACCCAAGTTCCTGAGCTCTGGAAGTATCGCGTAGACCAACAGCACAATTAATAGAAACAAACTTGAGATCATCAGCGCTGAAAACAGTTTAAAAATATTTTAATATTTATTAAGATTTTCAGGAATCGAACGCACTACAATATTATTTAGGCTTTTCATAAATTTATAATAAATTAAATATCAGAATTAAACATCAGATTTTTTAATTCTCAATATATGTTACGGAATATCTGTTGTTAGGAGATCTCTATGCGCCATGACATGTCCTTCTTCAAACGAGGCTTGTGGAGAGTACTTAACGGTAGGCAGCGGCTTGACTGTCTCTGGCATTGCTGAAACCCATGGCGATGGTAACCACTCACCATCAGGTGGGCTGTGTGCCCGTCTGCCTACAAGGGCAATAAAAAATCTGGAGTCCAAAGAAATTCAGCTTTTTATTTATGTTTCGTAGCAAAATCGGCTTATGAACATGAGGTTATATTATATTGTATCACACCAATCACTATACCCGTTTGTAATTTCAAGCAAAAAAAATCGTCACGTCCAGGACTTTTCTATCCGTTGGTTTTATGGCGATAAGTCCCGGTAAATAGACGCATTGGATTATTGGATGCATCAATGAGGGCTTAAACGTCTGTGAGAATGTCATATATCCACAACTCTCAAAAATAATAAGCAAGGAAGGGTTCTTAACATGATTTTTTCATTGAATATCACTGGCAAAAACTAATTATGAAAAGAACTCGTAATACGTTACAGCATAGCATTTTGGTACTTACCAGTTCTGTAAAGTGTTTGGGTTTCGGGTTGAGTTACAGGATCCATAACAGTAAAGAAACGATATTGTGCCTCCCAGGCCACAGAGGCGTTTTTGCTTTTCACTTTTCTGTAGTCAACGCAGTATCTCGAAGTGTTCCTTGGTGTCCATCGTAAGTAAAAGTTTGATTTCTCCAGGTAGAGCACACCTGTCTGAAAAAAAGGGCATCGAAATCAATTTTTCAGAGAGTTCTTTGAATGTTACATGTAGAGAAAGCCAAAAATCTCAAAGATCCATTCGGAAAAAATATAAGTTCGATAATTTGAATTGCGCATCTCGAGGTCAAATGGTGGAAGCTTGAACCTTAATGTGAATGTACGCAATAATACCCTAGACAATAAATATTTTAGCGCACATTTCATTACTTCAAAGTAGAGGCTTCAAAAAGAATCGTAATCAGCCTCGAATTGACATTTCAAGCCCTTTGAGCGAGTGAGAGTGAATATGTTACGGTAAAAGTAGATATCGACGCTTGAAAGGCAAAAGTGACTAAGCGACAATAACTGCTTTGTACATAAATGATAGGCAATAACCATATTCGATGCGCAAAAAAAATATATTTCTAGGTCTATTAAAATCATTTAAATCCTACAGCTACTATTTACGATTCTACTACAGCTGGATTCGTTAAAATAAGATTTGTTTTCAGGTATTTCAACTTTAAATTAGTCTACTGTAAAGTTTACGCATTGTCGCTTAATCACGTTTGCCTTTCAAGCGTCGATATGTATTGCGACAAATGTACACATTTTCCTGCAAATGTGCATATTTGCCTCCTCGTTTGGGTAATGTGCATTCAACTAACATATACAATTTCAAAGAAGGAAAATGTACATTGAATTCACAATGACCATGTCGTTTTGGTAAATGTGAGCATGGTATACAAAATCGCAAGTGCTAGTAATATAATGCACCTCTACAACCTAACCTAACCTACGACATATTATATATTAAGCAAAGAAAAGTATGTTTTGTTTGTCATTTAAATTTTTTTTTTAATAATTTTCGTTATTTAAGCCCTTTGTATTATGTTTATTTAAATCAATATTTTTTTACTGCGACAACATTATTAATTTATTTGTATTCCAACTTTTCTTAAAACATGAAGCTAAGAGTATATATTTACCAAAACGTGAAGGCAAGAGTACAGATTTGCCAGGAAATGTACATATAGGTTTTTTTTTTTTTTACTAACAATCACGCCACGATAACTGGTCCCGTGATAAGTTCGTAAAGAACTTGTGTTACAGGTATCAGATAACGGATATAAATGTAAGATTTTTATTATACACATACATATATTTAATATACATCCATAACCCTGGAAAAGACATTTATATTTATCATACAAATATCTTCCCTTGGCGGGATTCGAACCCGCGACCCCCTTGTGTAGTGACCATGTCACTTACCACTACACCAGACGGCCGTTTACATTACAGGCTTACATTACATTACAGGTACATTATATTCAGTTCACATATACCTAACTTTTTGGCAAATGTGCACATTTACCGGTAAAAGTGTACATTTCCCAACAGTGTACATTTACCGTAACAAATATACACATGACATTTGATGAAGACAGAATCATATGACTTGAGTCAATATTACTCAGCAAGAGTACATATTTTAAAGCGCCCTAAGATGGGTTTCAGTTAGGAGCGCATGCTTTAAAAACTACCACAGCGATGCGTGTTAGATACATATTATTTAAATACCTAACTGGTACGTAATTTAAATCATGACATAATGACATCGCTTGGTACAAATCACGGAATAGATAAATAAGGTTGGAAAGGCCTTTGCTCTAATTTTGTATTAGAACCAGTGTCGCCGCTTCATCCCCACTATTTTAATTTCTACACATACACACACTGTGATTACAAGTATTTCGCACACAACAAAAACACCCACACATAAATCTCAGGACAGATATTCGTTCGCAAACTAGCACAAAACACCCGTAGGCATACACACTCACACACGCAAAAAGGCAATAAAAATGTTCATACACGCTAGTGCTTGATAAAATCGATATTCTTTATCGATAAATTATCTGATGAATGAATGGAGAAAATGAAACATGAAATAAATATTGAAAAAAAAAACTATTTTACTTTTATTAATTACAAATAGTCACTGTNGCAATGTAATCAGAATGACATTCTCTCATCAATTATAAGCAAAGGAACTTGGATACTAGTTTGTTTTTGAGACCAGGACACGTGTCGTTAAAAATGTCAATGCCGTCAATTAATGCACATATTTGGTTATATTCACCACAAATCTTTGATAAAGGGGAATATCTAAGGAGGTTTGTTCTACTTGCGGGAATATGGAAAATTTCAGTAATAGGATGCCGTGGGCAGTGGTATGGAACGCTAAAGTTGATTTTCTGAAGTAAGTGGCTACAATCTATGCTTCCGGAAATTAGTTTTTTTAGGAACATGATATTAATTATTCTACGACGGTTGCCGAGCGATATCATTTTAAAATATTTAAGACGTAGATCATATGTGGTACGGTAAGATATGCTAGAAGAATGGAATGCCAAGTGCCTAGTGAATGCACGCTGTACGCTCTCAATACGCTGCGAGTAAGTAGCGTAATGGGGACCCATTACAAACTACTGATGCGAACTCAAGTTGACTGCGAACCAGCGAGTTATATAATATTATTTTAGTGTTTGAGGACATAAATCCCTTAGTATTTCTTTTTAGGAATCCCATTGATGGATGAAGTGGATTGAAGATTGTAAGGACGTGTCTAGGACGTCGACGGTGACTGGCTCCTGTGTGATCAGGATTCGGGGAGTAGTCAGCGGCGACAACGATAAGGTGATTATTATGACCCAACCCCTACCGAAGTACCGTTCCGACGCTGACTTCGTGTGTTTGCGGATCGGTGCGGCCGACGTTCCTCACGAACCACGGAGCTCCAACGGCCAGCCTGCATAATCGGGATTATAGGGATTGGAGGGTCTCTATGTGTGTGTAGACCGCGTAAGTGAACACCACACTCACATAAGCCATGACGTGACGTCTATTCTTTCGATTACAGGAAAATACTTCGTGAATAACAATGCTATGCTATGCCAATACGATAATAATTAGGAATTGTAAGAAATCAATATATAAATAAAATAAAAATAGAAATATCGAAATCTAAAACGTTAACGAACTCAAATAAAAATGGAAGCAAAATAATAAGAAGAAAAGAACATTTCATATTAAAATAAACTAAGCTGAAACAAACAGTATATGAAAATTAAACCATCGTCACTAGCTAACGTCCACTGTCGGTTAGCTGACCAGTCGCGTTCAACGGATTATCGCAAACTAAAAACTGTTTGCTCTACCTTGGGAGAAGCCTAACCACGCTGTGTCTTCCGTTCTTTGATCGAAACTTTTTTGACTCCAGCGGTAATTTGTTCTTCGAGAAATGTGCCCTGCTCACTGCCATTTTGACCTCACAATGTCTCGGTCTATGTCGGTCATCACGGTTCTACTACGAATCTCCGAAGTCGTCGTGGCCTAAAGATAAGATTTCCGGTGCATTCGTGTTGAGCGGTGCACCGGTGTTCAAATCTCAGGCGGGTACCAATTTTTGTAATGAAATACGTAATCAACAAATATTCACCATTGACTTCCACGATGAAGGAATAACATCGTGTAATAAAATCAAACCCGTATAAATTATAATTAGCGTAATTACTGGTGGTAGGATCTCTTGTGAGTCCGCAAGCGTAGGTACCACCACCCCGCCCATTTCTGCCGTGAAGCAGTAATGCGTTTCGGTTTCAAGGATGGGGCGGCCGTTGTAACTATACTTGACTATATAGCACTTATATCTCAAGGTGGGTGGCGCATTTAAGTTATAGATGTCTATGGGCTCCAGTAACCACTTAACACCAGGTGGGCTGTGAGCTCGTCCACCCATCTAAGCAATAAAAAAAATCCCGCTGGCAGGTACCAATTTTTTTCCACCGAGACGGCCGATGTTTCAGAGCCTTCGATTCGCCTCGAGGGCTCCGTCGGCTGGGCGTCCTTGGGGTGAGCCGCGCCGTCTGGTTGTAGTGTGGACCGCGGTAGCCCCCCTACCTCATCCGGGTTCTGACCTCGGAGGGGATCGGACGTCGGGTGTAAGAGTGCAGGGGAGTCGTTTAGTGGGTGGGTCCTAAAATCCTTGGGCCCGCGGTCTGCTCACAACACCATGCAGATCGTTGAGTCTCACATACCCCGCGCGCCCCTTTTGCGCGGAGACCTCGTAGGAGGTTCGGCCCTCTACACGAAAAAAAAAAAAAAAAAGGTACCAATTTTTCTAATGATAATATATGTATGTACGTATTTATATTTCTATTATATTATGATAGAGGGTACTGGGAATATTGCGAATGTTACGATGGATGTGTGGAGTAACGAGAATGGATAGAATGGGATGAATATGTTAGAAGAAGTCTGAAAGTGGCACCTATGACAGAGAAGCTGAGTAGTGCGCGTTTGGGATGGTATAGACATGTGATGAGAGGAAATGAAAATGAGGCTGGTAAGAGAGTGTTAACTATAAATGTGGAAGGATATAGAGGAAGAGGTAGCCCTAAGAAGAAATGGATGAATTGCGTGAAAGACGATATGTGTAAGAGGGGAGTGAGTGAAGAAATGTTATATGATTGAGGAGAATGGAAGGAGAAAACATGTTGCGCCGACCACAGGGGACTGGGAGAAGGGTAGGAAAATGATATAATAGAGAGTACAAGACCACGTAGCAGATCACCGTTACGATGGACTGATCAGATAAAGGCATCTTTAAACGGTCCCGTCAACGAGTGCACAAGAAGGGTCGCGGTACGCAATGAAAGGCGACAAAAATTAACATAATTGTTATTTATGTATGTAATTGTGTATGTATATAGTTTGATATTATGTATTAGTGTTTATTTTTGTTATTTTTATTGCTAATTAGATTGTACTCATCTACCCACTAATGTAAAGCTTTCCTTCTTTGAGAACGGTTAGCTGGTAGATAACTCAATTGGAGTTAAGCTCGCCATTTTTTATATCTTATCCCAATTACTGTATTTTATTAACAGTGTGTACAAATAAAGAATAAAGAAATAATTCAATGTACTACGCTAGGTTATGCCATTACAACTTGAACATAACCATAGGCCATAAGGATAAGGCATACGTGTCCAAACCAACAGCACACTATGGCTTTAGCGTTCGTAGGTATTCCTTCACTGCGATATTAAAAGGAAAATATTACAAATTAAATACAATTATTACTTTATTGCAACACGAAAACCTCCGATGTTCCATGGAATTTATATTCGATGTATTTTAATTAGTTCATAAACAAATTAATTAAACCAGAGTGGGATTTGTAGCTTTTGAAATAGCCTTTTAAACTTTTAGAGTATATTTATCTATTTAGAAGCGATGGCTATCATTTAATATTTTCTATATACCAATCTGATAGTTATGATGTGAGCCTGTATCGGTTGGTACCAACGCTGTCGCAAAGTTATGGGTGTCGGTTAACGTTAGTTTTCGCTGAGCTGTATGCTTTTCGTGAGGACACCTGAGGGGCGCTGGACATTTTCGCCGTCTCTTACGGCGATATCATTGAAAACAAGGGGTTATTAATGAAGAGAGCGTTGCAATCACCGCCGGACTTGGCTCGGAGTCTTATGGCGAAAACCTACGTATTTTTTTTATAAATGAATTAGTTCAATCTTAACATTCGTTTTTCAAAAACTTTTTTTAGTTTATCAGTTTTTCTACATTTAAGTCCTTGTCAAATCAATATTTTCTACGTGCAGTTTTTCAAATAATAGGGATTAAAGTATGAAATTGCCGTTTTATTGTAATATGTACTTCGTATGACAAAGAACCCTCATGGTCTGAGATTTTTGAGTGAAACTTATTTCAAATGGTACCTATGAGGTCCTTCTTTTAAAAAATGTGCAATATTCGATAGACTTTCAGTTGTTTTTTTATTCAGCTTAGAAAAGAAAGATGAATACTTCGAAAATTCGAGTGATTTTTGAATACGAATTCCGCCCGCGTCGGAATTCTTATTCGTACCGTAAGCGAAAAATGCAATGGCTGACCCCAAGTCAAACGCCGCAACACTGTCCTCAAGCAAAGCTTACCAATAAAAAGCGAATGGTAACTGTTTGGTGGTCTCAACATGGTGTTATTCACTATAGCTTTCTTCGATCTGGTCAAGCAATAACGGCAGATGTCTACTGTGCCGAACTCCGAATGATAGCAAAACTTGCAGTGAAACAGCCCCGACTCATGAATCGATATTCACAATTATTGCTCCATGATAACGCGAGACCATTTCATACAGCACGAGAAACCATTTTAACTCTACAGGGACTGCAATTAGAAACCATTCGTCACCCTCCGTATTCGCCAGACCTTGCTCCAACGAACTACCAGCTTTTTCTTGATTTGGACAATTTTTTACGTGATAAAAAGTTATCTTCCCAGGAGGTAGTACAAAATGCTTTCACACAGTTTGTAGAATATAGATCACCAGAGTTCTATCGCAAGGGCATAAATGACATTCCTATTAGATGGTAGCAATAATAATAAATAATAATGATAGATATTTTGATTAAATAAAATGCTAAATGAAAAAGAAAAACAAATTTCAATTTTTCAATACAAATCGGCAATTTCATAATTTAACCTCTAATAATATATTTTAACAAAACTATTTAATAACTAACAGTCGAATTAAAACAATATTGGTACGTTATTTAGTTACATTGCATGAGTCTGCCACACCAATCATATCCTACCAATATCAACCATAGCATCACGAACTAAAGTAATTACTGAATGTGCCTTCAATTTTTTTTCTCATCAATAATGTCTGACTGACTGATTCGGTGGTGCAGTAGTTAGTTCCCTTAACTGTTGCGCCGTCGGGGTTCGTGGGCTCGATCCCCACATCAGGCAAACATTTGTATGATAAACAGGTTTATTTGCTCTTTGTCTGCGTGTTTATTACTTATTTAAGTATATAATGAAACATAACTATCTGTGTCAGATTCTGGTACCCATAGCACAAAGAATTCTCTTTTGGGGCCGGATGACCGTGGGTGATTTGTTTCCAATTATTTATTATTACTATTAGTAGTTATTATTTTTAAATAATACATTTTTTTTTATTGCTTAGATGGGTGGACGAGCTCACAGCTCACTTGGTGTTAAGTGATTACTGGAGCCCATAGACATCTACAACGTAAATGCGCCACCCAACTCGACACATAAGTTCTACGGTCTCAGTATAGTTACAACGGCTACCCCACCCTTCGAACCGAAACGCATTACTGCTTCACGGCGGAAATAGGCGGGGTGGTGGGTACCTACCCGTGCGGACTCCCAAGAGGTCCTACCACTAGTGATATTATTAATTAAAATATAAATTACCTCAGATAAAAAAAAGTTGTAGATCCGTGTGCGACTTAAGTCGTAGGCGAGACTTTTGAATTCATCATCTTCGAAAACATTCCCGACCATATGGAACCTCGGATCAGTCAGCGTTGTTACCACCGTTGTTAAGTCGTCTTTGTAGACAGGTACTTTAGAAAAATTCAATGCATCCTTCAAATCGGTGTAGGCGCACTTGCTATCTCTACCGTGCACGTATTTATCTAAACCACAGCATTTGGGTATGCATATTTTATTTTTACATATATCCGATTCACTGAGTTTGTTAGCGAAACAGTCCACTGAACGAAACGACAAAGTTATTGAAAATAGAAGCAAAACTTTAACCAACATCATATTCAGTGCGAAGTCAAAATAGTACTAACCGCCTGTCGTTACTCATATTGTGTGTGAACAGCGTTATTATTGGACCAAAGATTACTACGGGTTATATTTAATTGTTGTGTTCGAAATTTTCATTAAATTGTGTACGCGCATTTGTGTCGAAGCATGGAATGAAAGAATTTTCAATCATTCTGTTATTATATCTCAAGGTGGGTGACGCATTTACGTCGTAGATGTCTATGGGCCCCAGTAACCATTTAACACCAGGGCTGGGAGCTCCTCCAGCCATCCATGCAATAAAAATAAATAAAAAATTGCGTCCGACAAAAACCAAATTCGTTATCGTTATCAAAACGACTGAAAAAACTAAAAAAAACCCAATATCGTATGTTTGTAGTACTCGCTCAAATTGTTATTGAAGAAAGAATACAGGGCGTTTTTAAAGAATATTAATGTTATAAAGGAAAAATAATAATATTTTACCAGGAATTAGATTTAATAGTTCAAACGAATGTACCCCTTGTTGAATCGCCAACAAAAGGAAGTTTATGATACATTCATGAAGGCAATTGATGGTGGAAATGGTGGCTTATATTACCTGGATGCCCCTGGTGGAACTGGTAAGACATTCCTCATGTCAGTAGTTTTAGCCACTGTTCGTGCCAGATCCAATATTGCGGTTGCAGTTGCTTCTACTGGAATAGCAGCCACATTGTTAGAACATGTAATATTTCAAAACACACCGCAATGGCCAATGTTTTATCAGCATCGAAAATCATCATCTGGGATGAATGCACAATGCTACACTGGAAGCACTTCACCGAACATTGAAAGATCTACGCAATGACTCGAGATGTTTTGGAGGCGCAATGATTTTACTGTCTGGAGATTTTCGCCAAACACTGCCAGTAATTCCAAGATCAACTGCTGCAGACGAAATAAACGCTTGCCTCAAATTATCGAATCTATGGCGCTATGTGAAGAAACTTCAGCTGACAACAAACATGAGAGTTGCATTGCTGAACGATACATCTGCTGAAGATTTCTCTGAGCAATTACTGACTATCGGTAATCGTCGAGTACCTGTCGACGAATCGAGCGGATTGATTTCATTTCCTCAGAATTTCTGTAACTTTGTCTCATCAAAATATGAACTCAGCAACAAAGTATTCCCAAACATCGTTACTAACCACAAAAATAATGATTGATTGAGTGAGCGAGCAATTTTGGCGGCTAATAATAATGATGTAGATGACTTAAGCTTCATAATTCAGAATAGGTCATTGGTAAACTGCATTCTTTCAAATTAATTGATTGTGTAACGAATGAAGATGAAGCCACCAACAATCCAATTGAATTTTTAAACTGCTCGGATGTGCTGAGCTTACCACCACACAATTTACGACTAAAGGTTGGCTCCGTAGTAATCATGCTATGAAACATAAACCAACCAAAACTGTGCAACGGAACGCGTTTGGTGTTATGGAAATTGATGAACAATGTGACTTACGCGACGATACTCAAAGGAAAATTCGAAGGTGAGGAAGTTCTCATTCCAAGGATCCCGATGATCCCAACCGACATGCCGTTTGAATTTCCTCCTTCTCCTTGCGTCGGTTTCCTCATTACTGAGGGTCGTGGTCATGGCCTTGAAACAGTTTATTTTTTATAATGCACCGTCATCTGTTCCTATCTGCAGCTGAGTGCAGAGCATCGTGCACTGTGGTACCCAGGGCTGCACAAATCTGGTCCGTCCAACGGGTCGGGTTCCTGCCTCTTGGCCGCTTGCCTCTGACTTTCTCGCTCTGACTTTGACATCTTTCTTGCGCTGGATTAGGTTCCATGTTTGGTCTGTTATCCATGTAGATCTCCTGGGATCTTTTTCTCTTTTGAGTTTAAGCGACTTCAATTTGCGATCCGTCTTGCATTCGCCACGACCATAACATAACGCCAAAAAATAAAGTTTGCGGTCTGAATCTAGAAAATCCATGTTTTTCCCATGGTCAATTATATGTTGCATGTTCACGGGTCGGAGGACCATCTGCGTTATTTGTTCTTGCACCTGATAATAAAACGAAAAATGTCGTCTAACACAAGGTGCTTCACTAAACAGAGCACCCATGCACTAAAATAACTGGCCAATAAAGAATCATTAAAATACTTGCTGTTTTAATTTACATTAATTAACAAAATAAAAAATTGACCTTGATAGAATAAAAAATCTGCTCATTTATTGTCTCTAAGGCGGAACAAAGTTCGCCGGGTCAGCTAGTATATTATACACTAAAAACGATAATCATCGAAATCGGTTGGCGTGATATTGAATTAATGAGTTATTCATCTATTTGTCGCGCACGTACTTCTATGTGGTTTTCTCATGAATACCATTATCAGAACTGGACAAAATGGGACCACACCGGAAGCGTCAGCTTCATAATAAAAAAGAATTATCAAAATCGAATCACCCAGTCAAAAGTTATGTGGTAACAAACATAAAAAAAAAAACATACAGTCGAATTGAGAACCTCCTCCTTTTTTGAAGTCGGTTAAAAATTACCATAAATGGCTAGTAGCTCGGTCCAATGGCTAGTAGTTCTGATATTTATTATTTAATTACTGTAAGGCTTGGGTTTGATTCCCAGGATTCAGGGTTGAAGAATGTACGAAACCGCTGCCACGTAACGTAATCTGCCGGTTGCGTGCTGCAAAGGATTGGTCATTGGAGCCTTGGGGAGGCAGGCCTATTTCCAGCTACAGGCCTCTGTAATATATATATAATTTATAAATCTACTTATTTATCGTATGGTATTCGTTTACACTGCGTGGTTATAATTTAAATTTACAGTTTGTGAAATAATCGATATATTATTTCGCTACATTTTTGAGATCTTCCACTTGGCCTGCGTGCTGCGTGCATTCCATGACAATGTGGCGTACAGTTTGCTCTGGGCATCCGCGTTCACAGCTTTCGTTTTCCGTCCAGCCCTATCTCTTCCGCAGTTGGTTACAGTGACCAACTCCCGTTCTCAGGTGGTTAAGCATGTACCAGATTGGGCGTTTTTCTTTGAAACCAGGTGGGCAGGAGTGTGGATTCAGCTCGAGCAGTTCAGGTGGAACACATCTGGCTGACCATTCTTTAACCCAGGCCTCGTTTGTGTTCCAATTGGAATGTGCTTGGTGTGCCTGTAATGCCGGTGGGTTCGTGACTTCAATCTCGTCGGTTTGAAGTTGGCTAGGTCCCTGTTGATAGGCAAGTCGGGTTGTCTAAGCGCCTTTTGTATCTCTGCGTATAGGTGGTGGGTGCGGCGAAGGTGGGGGGGGGGGCAATGCTGCTCAGAGCCGGAAGCCAGTGCAGAGGGGTTGGTTTTAAGCACCCCGTGATTAGGCGCATGGTGTGGTTTAGTTGCGTATCGACAACAGTAGTGTGGGAGCTGTTTAACCATGCAGGGGCGCAGTATTCTGCCGTCGTATATACCAGAGCCAGGGCGGATGTCCTCAGACAGCTGGCCGAGGCTCCCCACGTTGTCCCTGTTAGCTTTTGTATGATATTGTTCCTGGTTATCAGTTTCTAATCTATACTAATATATAAATCTACGGTGGTTTTTACAGATGTTCCGTTATAGCTACGGGACGACGCATCCAATTGACTTGAAACTTGGTATCCACGAAGAAAATAAATGTACTTAATGGATAGGCTAATATTTACATGAGTGTTGGACTCCCTAATAATAATGAGAATAAATAATAATGTTAATTTGAAATGCCCAGCAAATCGGACGAATACGGCTAGTAATTTATAAAACCAATAAATTTTATCATTCAACGCCATTAAAACTATATACCTGAAACGCCCCTTTTTATATTATTGAATCAAGAATGTTTCAGTATTCGGAAAAACTGTAATATGAACCTACACAGTTCACAGAAACGTTACAACAAGGGCGCAACCACAGACTCTCGAATGGCTTAGAATTGTATTAGCGGTTATGGGAATTGTAGTGCGTATTTTATAAGAGGAAACGTAATGAAGATGACGTCAACGTTATCTCAAACGGAGGTGTCACACATACTACTTATTAATTACCGCAAATCCTTCAATTATCATTCTCAATAATGCTAACCTCGGAAACAATAATGATAATTTGTTCAGTGTGCTTAGTGCGAGTTTTTTAACGTTCTCGATAGCGTAAAAGTTAGCTCATATTTGTATCGAATGGGATCGTTTGCCGCTAGGGGCGCTATTCCAACTGCATACAAAATTGGGTTAACTTTTACGCTATCGAGAAAGTTAAAAAACTCGCACTAAGCACACTCACTGGTAGGACGTACTGCAAGTCCGCACGAGTGTTCGGTCTTTTGGAGGTTTAACGACTGAGGGAAGATCTTCCACCGAGCGTGGGATATTTCTCGGTAGGCCGACGATCCGAATGTTGTTGTCCGGAACTTGTAAACATGCAAATTTATCTTCAAAATATCGTAAGCGAGATTCAGGCATCTGTCAAATATTTTTTTTTTAATGATTCGACGATTACTGGTGGCTTTTAAGTTTCACCAGGACAGGTGAGCAAAGGCTCAGCCCGGAGGGGTGGAATTTGCTATCAACTGCCCGAGTGCCTCCGAAACAGATCTAACAACTCAAGAGTAATTGCTTCGCGAATGAATCTACCACCGGATCGGAATCGCGACCCGCTGAGAAGATCAACTCAGCGGGCTGATGCATGGATTAGGTTGCACGTCGACCTCTTTGTCGAGTTCGACGAGTACGGTTACCGGAAATATTTTTGTGTTGTATGATGGGTACCCGCCACAGGTCTTCGCCTACATTTGCCCAAAGCAGTTCCGCGCTGCAGTTTGAAGGACGAGGCAGTACAATGTAATTGAGACTTAAACCTCATGCCTTAAGGTGAGCTGCGGCGGTCGTTATGTCTACAAGCTCCGATGACCATATAACTCCAGCTGGAACGGGAACTTGTTCACCCAATCAATGAATAAAAGAAAAAAAAGCTTCTCATCACACAGCTGTCTAGTCCCAACCTAGTATTCCCTGTACTATGGTAGCCAGAGACTGATATAAATACATATATATATATAAACGTTTAAATCTATACAAATAGTAATATGCTAAGCACCCAGACAAAGAGATAACTAATAAATAACTCCGCGCGTAACATCTGCCGTATCGATTTCCAACAGACATACCGACCTGTATGTTTATTTTTAAATGTTTTTTAAAACACTATATTTGTTAACAATTTCACGACTTTTTCGATGCTAAGCGGTTACCAGAGCTCATAAGCCTGTCAACTTGAATACAGCCACTCACTCCGAGATATGAGGTTAAAATCTCAACTTGTTGCCCGAATTTTGTTTCGTTTTAAAGTAACTACTGAAATATCTTAGACAACAGAAATATCCTAGACAATCTATATATTAATACGTGAAGCAAAAACTTTGTATCTCTTTTTACGAAAATTGCGCGGACGGAGGAGTATGAAATTTTCCACACTTATAGAGAATATAGAGAAGAAGTGCACAATGCTTATTGCAATTATGAGGTTGTTTTTTTTTTGCATCAAATTATCGTAAAAAGGCTGTATATTAATTATAATAAAGTTTCTAACTATAATTTCTTATATGCTATATAAACGAACACACCGGTCACCTTGTGTATTACTGGACGCAACTTAAGAGATGAGGTCAAATTTCAAGATTTTGAATATGCAACAATATACCACTCTAAAAACTAGGATGCCTGTTTAAAGAACAAAAATAAGCAGGATTTTTAAGCTATTGCATAGCTTTTATCGCGGGCTTTGAGCGCGATGACCGAATCAAGAAATTCTGTAACGAAAATAAAACCTAACACCCCCCACTCCGCCTACCGTGTAGCTCGCGTTCAAACACATTCACACGTTGCGCTTGTGTAGTGTTTGTAAATAAGCGCGCGGCGTGACGTCGCACCGCATGAGCATCATGAAAATTCTGCCCATCTCTCTCTCACGCAGTCTAGCTTATGAGTGTGAACAGTTAATGTTTTGCTTTGGTTAATGTTTGTAAATATAGCGTAGTATTATTATTGTTTTAATATTAAATTATTATTGTCTATTTATAATTCCGTAAGTTGACAAAAAATGCTATGCAATAGCTTTACGGCGGTAGTCCCCGAGTGCCACACGTTTTTTTTAATTCCTTGTGTGGGTGGACGAGCTCACGGCCCACCTGGTGTTAAGTGGATACCAGAGCCCATAGACATCTACAACGTAAATGGCGCCACCTACCTTGAGATATGAGTTCTAAGGTTTCCGTTTTTACAGTACAACTGTTGCCCTACCTTTCAAACCGAAACGCATTACTGCTTCACGGCAGAAATATGCAGGGTGGTGGTACCTACCCGTGCGGACTCACAAAACTTCCTACCACCAGTAATTACGCAAATTAAAATTTGGCCGATATCTAGCTATTATTGGATTACATATCACACTAAGCCGGCGTTACCCCCGAGAAGTAATTTATGAGTTACCAGTAAATTAATATATTCTAAATACCGCTTTTTTTTAATTCATAGAATTGGGATTGAAGCTGATTAATATAATTCGATTTTTGTATGAGTTATTAATAGTTAATAAAGCCATTTTTTATATAGTTTCGATGTTATTTTGCTAAAATACGAGAATAAATTGTTTTGATGCATTGTTTTATTGTTTTTTTTTACCAATGTTCTTTTCACCTCACTCAACATAATAAATTGATTATTTTAACGAAGTGACAATAAAACAGCTACAAGGAGGTACTTAATGTCGTTTTTATTTATTATAATATACATTTATATTAGAATTTCATTTAAAATAATCTTACATTCTGATAATGTACTTAGATAAGAAAGCGTTTTAAAAACACAATATTTTTCACGTAAACAGTTATCAAACATCACGATTAATACAAAACATAGGTCTACAAATAACATAAAGACACATACACACATAAAAGACTAGAGATTACATCTTTTAACATCATAATATTACTAAATTAAATACTGGTCCCTAAGATACTTTGAGGTTAGAATTCTTAAATATTGATTATGAAAATTGTGTTCAACACACAGGATGGGTATGGAAAATACGGTTTTAATAATTTCTTTTAAATACCATATTATGTTTTATGGTATTTATAATGAGCATAGTAAATACAATAAATCATATAGGTACCTATAAATAAGACTGCAGCAATTTTACGGAATGAGAAAGATTTTGTTGTATTTTCATCGACATAGGTCAACGACCTCGGAACTTACATCGCGCTTAAAATGATGATATATTTCAAAGATTTTTTGGGCACCCAACATTTTACTGTGTACTTGATGAACTATGCTATACTGGGAGTATAATTAAGGCGTTATCTAAACATAAATGAAAAATGTTAATTCTTTGTTTAACTTCTAGGAAGTGTAACGAATGGAAGTTTAAAATTCTCATTTAAAAACGCTATAAACCTCTTTCGTGAATATAAAATTAAAAATAGAACTTTGAAACATTTAAATGTTCACATTAAGTTTTCCTCAAAATTTGCGCCGTGTATTTCGTTTTTCAAAGAGTCGTTATCTAAGTAATGATTTATAATTCATTAGCAGTTATGTTTAACACAATTTAATCTTACTCCAACCCATTCCTAACTAATTTAAAGAAACAGCTTTATTTTTCGATACAACTCTTTTTAACAAAGGTTAACCATGATTTTATATCAAGTATGTAGTACTTTTTCTGTTAAAAAGTTTTTCGAAGACACAATATGAAGGTAGTCTTTTGTTTTTTGTAATTTATGCACACGCATTGGTATGAATTTCAACTGTACAACATTTGGACTCTTTTTTGAGGAACAAATTTATTTTCTAGTTACCTTCACTCAATATTCTATTAGTTCTTGAGGTTTTTGAATCTTTTGGCCGTGTTCGAACATGTCTAATAATGGAAAATACATAGAACTCTTCTACTATTCCCAATTTTCACCGCTTTTAAATAAGTATTCTGTGTGTGAGAGATGAAACATTAAAAATAGTGAGTACAATCTATGCAAAGATTTATTTTTATTGACAACATATAATTGTGTATTTGAAAATTATATATTATAGGAGAATAACTACGGAAAAGCCTTTGGTAAAATTGGAAACTGCAAATATAATTTTGCATGAGTATTCCTAACTATTAATAAATTCTTAAATAATCTAGGTACATTTATATTTATAGTTTAAAAAACCAAGTGGAATAAGACTGAGTGAGCTAAAGCAACTACATATATATCTTAAATAACAAAACTGTGCAATAAGTGCGTAATATTAATAATAATGTATTATTAAATTTTACCACACCGTCTAATTTAAATTAACTTTTTTTTTAATAATTAAACACGCGATGTTTCTCCGAATCCACGATTAAAAAATTGTCCATAGGCAAATCGTTCCAATTATAATAAATTCTTTCGATCATCCCGAAATATTTTATTAAAAGGATTATTTATGACGCTTGTACATTTAATTAATCTTTCAGCTGCCTCTCAGGTTCTTAGTTTTTGTATAGTCTTTTTTATTTCTATGCGTGTTAAGTACAAAAAGATTTAAACATTGTTACAGCCTGCCTGATCATAATTAGTTCACGTGGAGGCTATTCTGACTAGCTTCTAAATCGATAGAGAAAAATCGTAACATCATATTAATGTTTCTTATGATGAGAACACCGGAATAACCACTGAAGCAAAAGATGAATCGTACTAGGATAATTCGTGAATTATACTAGCATTTTAATTCTCTATGGCAACAGCTCGGCGATCACCATGGCAACGGACTTTGAATTATTCAAATAGAGAAGAGCCATAAATGAATGTGACTTGGAGTAGACTGGTTATATTCACTTGCTCTTGATCGAAGTCATCGCTACGTCCTCGCGAGTAGAGAGGGTCCTAGAGGTTGTGGTCTGTGTCCTGGACATTGGATCGCCACGTAGCTGTTTATATCTGTACAAATGCATATAAATAATTATTAACAAAAAAAAATAGTCTCCCATTCAATCGTGCAAACATCGGATTGAGGAAATGCGAAACTTATAATACATTAGTCATATATAAATTATTAAAATAGACATTGTTGTGTTAAAAATTAGTTAAAATTTAATGACGTGGAACACAACGCTTTGAAATTATATTTTCTTTGATAAATATTTATTTTATTTTATTTAGCACAACTTTTATTAATTGATAGCTTAAACATTACACGGATAAAAGCAAGATACATATACATATAATATATGTATGACCACAAACGTGTTGTTATTACTTTAAAGAAAAATTACATTTGTGTTTCATAGGTAATTATGTAAATCGTTTATTCATTCTTTATGTGTAAAGTAGCAATATTATCATTGTATTATTAATATTAAATAATAAACTTTTTATTCAATCGATAAGTACGCCGCGTTTAATTTCTTTTCTAAAATGATTCTTATCCCCCTGATGATTGTCTAGAAGATCGCTCTTAGCCAAGATCGCCCATTGTAATTTGTATCTAATGTTTTGCATTTGTATTTATTTTGGTGTAATGCATAATCTACTCTGTGTGTACATTGTAAAAATACGTTTTTAGTGAAACTTTTGGCGTGAACGCGAGGAGTGAAGTTGCGTGATTTGTTTTATTTTGTCTATTTAGTGTTTCTTCTGGTTTAAATGTGTAATAATGGTGGTTATTAACTGTTTAGTAATATCTGTGAAAGTGCACAAATGTGGGAAAACGAAACAAAGCCGCTGGACGTAACTTCTCGGGATCCTCCAAAAAGTCCACTGAAAAAATCTCAGTAAATTACCACCATTTTACTGAGATTGTATTTCATCCCATATCCACTCATCTCATTTCATTTAATTTCATCCCAGTTGATTAATGTCTCAAATTAATCATCTTCATTTAATTTCATTTCACTCCATATTATCATCTTTCATAAAAATAAGAATATAAATTAAAATAAGACATGACTTAAAGATCTTAGTTACCAGGTCATAAAATGCCTTAAAAAAAAAAAAAAACGCTTTTAGTCGTGATGAAGTTTTGCCGGTTCATTTGATATTTGAATACGAAACGGAAGTTTTCGTAATTAAACACAAGTTCCCGGAAAAAAACCGTATTCCTAAAATCGTCGAACAAACAAACGTGTACAATTATCAATTATTTTAATTAAACATTGCTCATAAAAGAATGGCGGAAAACGTTGTTGACTATTATGGGAATTAATATCTAGTGTTGTGACCACTAATGTATCCAATCAATTTCATTCGATTTATTAAATCAGTTGAGTAATTTTTCGAGCGATTTATATTTGGTATTTTTAAATAGGTCGCGCAGGCGATCTTGAGCTTAGTGCAAAAGTTAAGACTAAGCAGTACTTAAATATATATATGTATATATATTTTTTTATTGCTTAGATTGGTGGACGAGCTCACAGCCCACCTGGTGTTAGTGGTTACTGGAGCCCATAGACATCCACGACGTAAATGCGCCACCCACCTTGAGATATAAGTTCTAAGGTCTCAGTATAGTTACAACGGCTATCCCACCCTTCAAACCGAAACGAATTACTGCTTCACGGCAGAGATAGGCAGGGCGGTGGTACCTACCCGCGCGGACTCACAAGAGGTCCTACCACCATTATCCTATGCGTTGAATCTGGGAGTAAACCTTCTATGCGGCAGAAATGGTGGTTTCCAACTCGTGCGAGTAATACCATCGGTATAAATGACTACATAATAATAATATTTTTTATAGCCTTAAATAGCAAGTACATATTTCAACAAAGAAATCAAACCTCTGTTTTGAAGGGTGGGGCAGCCCTTATGCAATAAACTGAGACTTCGCATATCTCAAAGTGACAGTCACGTTATGACGTCTATGGCGGTAACGACTTAATACCAGATGAGTTGTTTTTATTTTTATTTATTTTTTATTGCTTAGATGGGTAGACGAGCTCACAGACCACCTGGTGTTAAATGGTTACTGGAGCCCATAGACATCTACGACGTAAATGCGCCACCCACCTTGTCAAAAATGCGCCACCCACCTTGAACTCATTGACCCATTTACACAATAATTAAATAGAAACCTTATGTAAAAGGTATTTGCAGTACATTTCCTAATAATTATCTGCGAATTACGAATATTAATGTCATGCGCTGTTGTTTTTGTTCACTTTCCCTGCCCATTCCTACTGTCTATTCAAAAAGGCTGGAGCAAGCTTTACCATTTATAGCCACAAAAATTCTACCCAAAAAAGTTCCACCCACATTTTTTTATTGCCTTAGTAGGCGAGTCGAGCATACGACCCAACTGATGGCGAGTGATTACCGTCGCCCATGGACGTCAGCAATGAGGCAAGCCGCTACTAGATCAGTATAGGTGTTTACATGATTTTTTACAACTTCGTGGGTGGTGTTCTTACGTGTAGCTTCTGTTTGCGCACGTTTAAGAACAAGATAGGCTACCATAGCCATATTAGAGCGCATGAGAGGCGCGGACATTAGCTTTTAAGTTATTGAACAGAAAATTTTGGTCGCCGTTGCCGAAACCGGCTTGGAACCATGATGATGATGATGATGATGATAGGTCTGGTGGTAGGACCTCTTGTGAGTTCACTGGTGGTAGGACCTCTTGTGAGTCCGCACGGGTAGGTACCACCACCCCGCCTATTTCTGCCGTGAAGCAGTAATGCGTTTCGGTTTGAAGGGTGGGGTAGCCGTTGTAACTATACTGAGACCTTAGAACTTATATCTCAAGGTGGGTGGCACATTTACGTTGTAGATGTCTATGGGCTCCAGTAACCACTTAATACCAGGTGGGCTGTGAGCTCGTACCCCATCTAAGCAATAAAAAAAAAATAAAAAAAAAGGTGTCTATAAATCAATTATTATAAATAGTGGGTTACATTACACGCTTTGTGCACACGCAAGAGCACTCACACTGAAGACAAGCATGATTCATAATGTTATTCGTCACTAAACCACAAGCAGCTCGACGTGTGATTAGTAATTTAAAACGACAAAACGCAGGCATACTGCATTGCAAAAGCTTAAAGTCACGTAGACGCTTTGCTGGCTTCGTCGTCTCTGTCTATAGTCAGACTGGGATATTACGATTCAGAATCTAGTAGCATGACAATTGAGAAATGTAAAATACCCATGAAAATTATGTGGTTTTATTTTCTGTTTTAATTATCGTCCTGGTGAAACTGGAAAGGCTTTCGGGCCATCAGTAATATTTCCTTCACAAAAAAAAAGAAAATTTCTAAATTGTTGGGATAGATAAAACCGGCCCTATGTAAACGTCAATTGAAGCCATTTAACCGTCTTCAAGTTTAGTTTTTTCATCATTCTAATCGATCCTATTTCTTGTGCTGCTTGGCAAGGAAGAATTAGTTAAGTCATAGGACATTGAAAACATATTAAGTGTGTTAACATATTTTAAAATATTTGTGCTCTTGATATTGTTCTCATGAGTTTTAACGGTTCAATATGGCTCATGTCATGACAACGTAGATTTCCATTTCCTATTGCTTTTTTTGTTTAAATTTCTTTGTAATGTTGTAACATTTCTTTTCAAATTAGTTGTTTTTAATCTGGAACATGTATACGGTTTGACTTTTTGCGTCTGCTAACATTGAAAGCTATAGTTAGTAACGTAATTAGTCACACATCTCTGGTTTATATTATTGAACATACGTTTTCTTTTGTATTACGGCTTCTTCTTCGTCGTCTTCTATTGGATCGTTGTGTAAGTTGAGCCTTTAATTAATAATTCAGTTACAATCGTAATGTGGCATACTCGTAATCTAGCATACTATACGATATAATATTTAGATGCGAAACCTCAAAGAAGTTTTATATTACGTTCAGAATGATACAATATCGCAAGAATACCAATACATTTGGAATTCAATTTTGTTCTGTTTTTTTGACCTACACTCATTGTTTCGTACGTATTTTTGTCGACAAATAATTAAAATAGTTGGTTGGTCAAAGCACTTATCGATAGTAATAATCATAAAGCACGTTCCCATTGCTTCAGTCATTGCGAAAATTATACTTAACGAACAAATGTGATCTTTGTTTACGATCGTTTACAAGTGGCCTGTGTACAATCTCAAAATTTACGGCTAATTTTCTCCATCAAAATTTAGTTTTAGCCTATGATTTTTAACTCAATTAAACTGGTAGCTGTTTCTACGAGCATTTCCATCATATTACATTGTTCTAATTACGCAAATAAGTACTTCTTATAGATCTCTTTCTGGCCTTGATCATTCCATTCTGAAAAAGTTAAGTATAAATTCCATAGGAGAGCCAAATTTAAAGCAACTTAATTTGCTTCCTCCTTGCATTCAGAAAATGCACGTGCTGGCTTGACGGTAGATATTGGAAATCCTGTTTTCCGGGTTATTGACTTCCAGCATCGACTCATTATATTCAAAATATTCAGATATTTGTATGCGGGTCTTAGCACTTCTAGAAAAAAATTATAATAGACTGCTAGATAGATATCAGGTTGTTTGTCTACACAAACTGGCATGAAGCAATGAAGATTTTACTTGAGTATTTGAATATTTACTATATATTTAACGTGCGTGTATTAAAATATAGTTATGTTTTTTTTTTCTAATCCATTTAAAATTGTGATTTGGAAAAATCAATCGTTCAGTTTGTTAATAATTTTTCTCAGCGGTAAAATTGCATTTTAAATCGATGATAAAACAAAACGCCATAATGGCTTCGTTGCGTCCTATTTGATTTTCATACGTAGCTTGAGAATTGTTGTGAATATATTTTTTTTCCTACCAATTCCCTGGTAGCCTAAGGAGCTATACCAGCTACGCCCAGATGGGTAATGAATAGTAAAGCTTCATAACTAACGCATTAGGATTTATTCTGAAAATAATAATACGTGAAAGTATAAACTATAACATATACCTAAGTGAAAGTATATAAATATACAAGATGAAAATATAGTTTTAATTATGTTTCTCTTGTTCTTTTTCTCCACCTTATACCACTAGGTGGGGTCGGCACAGCTAATTTTTCTCTTCAATTCTCTTCCATCAGCCGTTATCTCAACACTCACTCCTCTCACTCTCATATCGTCATTCACACACTCCATCCATGTCTTCTTTGGTCGACCTCTTCCCCCTTTACCTTGCACTACCATTTTCATACAATTTTTCGCGAAAATCAAAGAAAATATTTTACTGCTATGATATAGAATAGTAAATGGTTGTGTGAATAAACTTTCGGAAAACGTAACAAAACCGTAGTTCATAGCTGTACTTAACAAAAATATTTTCTGATTATCAACCAACTGACGATCTAGAAACTCTTTTACCTGATTAATTTAAATTGTTTAATTACTAACATCACACTTTTCTAATGGCATTCCATTCAGTACACTAATTGGTTTTCAATGTCGTTCCCAAATAATTGGTATAGAAATATCAGACAGGAACACTAAATGAATTTTAATAATTGGTGTATTTTGCGAACCGAATGCTATGGATTTCGATGGTTGATAGCTAATAAAACCCAAAGAAACCAATGTTAATCAATGGTGCGATGTAAATCATTGTGCGCTTCAATCCATGCTATAGAATTTATTGTTACAAAACCTTCTAATCCCTAATTTCCAGTGATTAAATTTATTTACAATAATTAGTTTAGCGTTAGTCTTTCCAACCATTACGGTACCCGATCCCATAATAAAGGGTATATTTTGTACCTTTTTAAGCCGGTTAGAGAAATTTCTTGTCACATTCTCAAGCGGCATTTAAAGGGTTACAATTTTTCGATTGCTCCACAAATTCCGGGAATGAACATTATTTGTTAACTTTGATGTGTGGATGTATTTTTGGAATGCTCTTGTTACATCTCTATATTGTTTTTTTAAAATCAGTGAATCATACATTTGTCGTGTTTCTAACGGTAGCATCAGAGTCGACACCGATTGAGGTTCTGATAGTTTCTAAGCTGGCTCTTTGGTTCGAATTATTTTGCCAGCGTCTCATTCTCTTATCGACTATCTCCTTTAACTCTCTGCTCTCATTGTTCGATCGTCGGAACTTCTGCTTAATCCTGAATATAAAATAATTATTTTTATGTGAAACTTAGAACTAACATTCTACTTAAATGAAAAAAATTATCGATATAAATGCAATCGTTATATTCCTATATCAGCCTCATCAAATTTTTTCATACAACGAACCTCTTCTTGATCAATCTGAAGATTTTTCTCTTGCAGACGAAAATGATGAAGATGATTAATCCGATAAGGACGTTGTAGGCGTCTGTAAATTTCCAGATATCTTCGGCTTCTGGGTATATAGCGCTGACTACCTCTAGGATCCAGCTAACACCCATCACCGCAAGCAACTTGATGTAAAGGAGCAGCCTGAAAGATTAACAAAAGTTTTATCATATGTATGAATATGTGTCTTACCCAGGCTTTTTACTGGCGGTGGGACCTCTTGTGAGTGGTCCCCTGGTAGTCGAAATTAGACTACAATTACTAATTTAAATTATAAGTTTGAACATTATTATGGTTCTATTGTCAAAGACTTTACTTCTATGTTGACAGATTTCACCAAGGCTACACTGTTGACAAATAATATTAATTTAAATTTTTTATTTCATTTCCTTTCCTATTTAGTTTCCTTGTTATATCACAGAAAACACAATGAAGTATTTTATTGTTTATTCATTCTGAAATACCCCAGATCATTATCACTACTTATTATACAACAAAGTCGCTTTCTCTGTCCCTATATCTGTCTGTCCTTATGTATGCTTAAATCTTTAAAACTACGCAACGGATTTTGATGCGGTTTTTTTAATAGATAGAGTGATTGAAGTGGAAGGTTTATATGTATGATAACATCCATTAAATAGTGGAGAAATCAATAATAAATTACAGTTTCCGAAGCAGAGCGAGGGCGGGTCGCTAGTATATTTTTTTTTGTATTTTTTTTATTGCTTAGATGTGTGGACGAGCTCACAGCCCACTTGGTGTTAAGTGGTTACTGGAGCCCATGGACATCTAAAACGTAAATGCGCCACCCACCTTGAGATATAAGTTCTAAGATCTCAGTATAGTTACAACGGCTGCCCCACCCTTCAAACCGAAACGCATTACTGCTTCACGGCAGAAATAGACAGGGCGGTGGTACCTACCCGCGCGGACTCACAAGAGGTCCTACCACCAGTAATATAGATATAGTTACTACCTTTGTCGATCATTCCGGTGCTGATCGTGCGTGGAACTGTCTTTCGATTTGAGCACCGACGTTTGCTTCTTAATCTGCGCTATCTTCACGGCGGTCAGCACGAAGAAAGTCATGTTCGCGATGCAGAGTATTGAAATCGGACCATACAGGTAAATAAGTTTACTCGTACCTGAAAGAAGGTTTCCAAATAATTTTTAAAATACTGATACTACTGAACTCAGTTTTCATGGTAGGTGAACGATGGCATTTGATAATGATATAAATGTATTGAGTCTCTGTATCAGGCCAGGATTAATTCTCGAAGGATTAAGACACGTTTTCAGTTAAGTGACTAAAGTACATTCGGATTAAAAAGTAACGTGCTATCTACAGCCCGAAAAAATACCGAGCGAGACTGCCGTAGCATTTTTTTTCCTACCTGAGCTGATGGTCTACAGAGACCATATCAGCGTAACCTTAACTAGTAAGTGAGCTCACGGGGCTCAAACCTGACGACGTTGCTAACACGAGCCCTAGCAAGAGCCGTGCTTCGCAGAATCTACCACCGGATCGGAAACGCGACCGGCGCGTCGAGAAACTCAGCGGGCTGTGTCTGTGGGTTAATTTACTCGCCGAGCCCTTGGTCGCAAGTGACGGGTTCGACAAGAACGATGACCGGGTTGGAATATAATTATCGCTTAAATGTCGCATCCGGACAGGACTAACGAAGCGAAAGCGTGCCATTTAGTGGAAGCGAGCCGCAACTACTCGACAAACATCGGCTCACTTCGGGTGGTTTGCTTCGGCAGAGCCGATGTGTCATCGCTCGGGTTGAATCAAAGCACATTCGTTGCCTGACTTAGGAAGAGTGAAGACGTCTCGAAACTATCTTCGATTCGTGCTACGCAATCTCTTTGCACGATTACCCACCCACTGTTTTTTTTTTTTTTTTTTATTGCTTAGATGGGCGAACGAGCTTACAGTCCACCTGGTTAAATGGTTACTGGAGTCCATAGACATCTACAACGTAAATGTGCCACCCACCTTGAGAAATAACTTCTAAGATCTCAGTATAGTTACAACGGCTACCCCACCGTTCAAACCAAAACGCATTACGGCTTCACGGCAGAAATAGGCAGAGTGGTGGTACCTACGCGTGCGGACTTACAATACGTCCTACCACCAGTAATTACACAAATTATAAGCCACTACATAAAAAAAATTTTTTAGAAAATATCGGTCTATTCTGTGACATAGTTAAATGAAGTTATTACCGTAAATAAAACATCCTTGTTGCCGGATCATTGGTAATAAGGGATGCGGCGGAAGACCCGAGAACTCCAATCCAACAAGAAGAGCAGTCAGCACAGTAGGTATACCAAACGCGTATAAAGAATACGCAACGAAGCGGGTCCGCAGTGACATTTTCTCTAGAGATTTTCCACGTTTGCCGCTGAAAGAAAATACAAGTTATCTGTATAAGTATTTATATTCTGTCGTCGTCGTGGCCTAAAGGATAAGACGTCCGCTGCATTGGTATCTAACGATGCAACGGTGTTCGAATCCCGCCGGCGGGTACCAATTTTTCTAATGATATATGTACTTAACAAATGTTCACGATTGACTTCCACGGTGAAGGAATAACATCGTGTAATAAAAATCAAACCCGCAAAAATTATAATTTGCGTAATTACTGGTGGTCGGATCTTTTGTGAGTCCGCACGGGTAGGTACCACCACCCTGTCTATTTCTGCCGTGAAGCAGTAATGCGTTTCGGTTTGAAGGGTCGGGTAGCCGTTGTAACTATATATTAGAACTTATATCTCAAGGTGGGTGGCGCATTTACGTTGTAGATGTCTATGGGCTCTAGTAACCACTTAACACCAGGTGAATTGTGAGCTCGTCTACCCATCTAAGCAATAAAAAAAATCTTCCAGACAACCGTTTAATTTACAGAAATTCTGGAAAATATAAAAATATAGCAGGTATGTTGCGGTGTACTATAGACAATAAACTATTATAGAAAATATATACAAATAATAAAGATATATTTTATACCGTTTACATATAATGTGAAATATATAACTAATTCATTTATATACCAATATACATACTTACATACAATACATACTAATATACTTACATACACATAATAACAAACGGCACTAATCAGATAAGTAGTGTTCCTTCACCATTCTTTTAAAACAGTTTAAAGTTGGAGCACTTCTCACGGCATGAATTGATTGAATCTGTTTTTACAGACAAGCTTAGTCTCCGATATGAAGTGCGACGAAAATCCCTAAAGCCTTGTTCGGACTAGGCGAGTATTTTAGTCGAGTACCGACTTCGATCAACAATAGTAACTGTTGATCGAAGAGTACCGAGTAATTTAGTGGCTAAACTACTCGCTACTCGCCCGAAAAAATAGGACAAAATGGATTGACTTGACTAAATTATTTACTAACCTACTCGACTAAATTTTTGGTGCTCAGACACATTTAGCTACTAAATTACTCGGTACTCGACTAAAATACTCGCTTAGTCCGAACAAGGCTTAAGGCACATGTGTGGTAGCCTATAAATTCGCCTATGGGTCTCATACAATTCAAAGTTATAAAAACTGTAAATACATTTAAGACAAAAATACAAAATACAATTCAAACTTTTTTATTGGTAGAAGTACGTATTGGGAGCCCGTACGGTAACACAGTACTTCCTATTTTGGCCCTGAAGCAGTAATGCATTCCGATTTCAAGAACAGGCAGCGGTGATACTGAAAATTTGCATATTTCAATGGAGACGACGGTATAATAAATAGGTTGGGGAAAGTCTTTTCGCATTATAGTATGTATGAGCTTTTAATAAAATCTCTTTGGCTATACTATTTGTATCTGGCTGGTTTTGATATCATTAAGTTCAAATTTTAAAGAAGATAATTCCAAATTACATATAAATAGGCAAAGACAAAATAGTTAAGTACCATACTATCCATTGTTTGTCAACTATTTTTATTTATTTAGTCAATTATTTAGTCTTCAGGCCTTATAAGCACTTAGTTATATTAATAAAAAAATATGGAAATTGTCTTTTTTTTAAAGTTTAATAACAAAAAAGAGTGAATGCAAAATTTTACATAAATCTAAATCTTAATCTCATTATATTGTGAGCACTAGTTTAAATAAATACTCAATATGTAATAATAATAAATATGTAGGTTATCAAAACAGCATTGTTTTATTTGGTTTCCATGAAAACGCCTGACACAAAGTTAATGGTTAAAACTTTTAATAGAATAATTGGTGCTGTAAAATTTATTTATGAACCAATAGCGTTAATATTGTTTTGTTAAAACATTTTTTTATAAATCCAGGTTGCTACCTACCGTTTACGGACACCCGGTCGAGACCGGTAACAGACTGGGTTATGTCGGACTCCGGCGCCTCCAGAGAAAAAGAGGGAGAAGGGGAGGATCGAGGTCCTCCACCTTCCCCAATTCCTAGCTCGTTTCGAGAACCTCGTTTCGAGACAGATAATAATATGTAATAGCGCTCTGGAAATAGCATGAAGGGGTATTCATTCAAGAGTCAAATGGTACGTGACAAAAATATCTTTGGAAACGCACTGTTTAATATTGGTGGTAGAACCTCTTGTGAGTTCGCACGGGTAGGTACCACCACCCCGCCTATTTCTGCCGTGAAGCAGTAAGAGAAGAAGGGCAACCTCGAAGCGTGGGAAGCCGACGTGAAGTTGGCGCTGTTTGCCGACGACAGCGCCTACTTCGCGTCATCCAACTTCCCCTCTGCGGCCATTTCGAGGATGCAGAGGTTATTGGACTTACTGCCCCAGTGGCTGGACCGATGGAGGGTCGCGGTCAACGTGGGGAAGACCGCGGCTATTCTCTTCGGTCCGGTNGGTCTCAGTATAGTTACAACGGCTACCCCACCCCAAACAATGCGAACGATTAATTGAAGTCACGAGATAGCTGACGTTTAATTATTCAAATCGGACATTTCGCGTGAGTTCTGCGTGGCTAACGGACTGTCAATTATTTTTGTGTATCATTAAATATAATTATTACGTGCTCGTACATTGCGACTCGAGGACGCGAAGCCGAATTATATTTTCAATGCTTTTAATGAAATGTATTCGTAAACGCCAAAAATAACAAGACAAAAAAACATGTAGGATTGGTAAGAACGGAACGTATGAAAAGAGTCTGAAACGGAGCGTTAAGATGTTAGTGAGAAAAACGGAAAGAAAGTGGGAAGAGAACGAGAGAAAAGGAAGATGGAGAAGACGGTTAAAAACAACAAGCAAGGCGTAATAAAAGTGTTAATTAATTTTTTTTTATTATAACAGAAAATTTTGGGACAGTGTAACTTTTATTTTATGCGCTTCGATCCCTATTCTACAAACATTCAATACAGATTTTTCACTTTGAGAAGGCGGCACGATATGAGAACCCTCTTGTCGTGGCCGCTGGAAATTACATACGTAAATACGTACGTTTATGTAAACGGTCGACGTCGCCCTAAACACGTCATTACGGACCCTCCCGATCCATTAACGTGCTTTTAGGTACCACAAGCACCGGTCACCGTCCTCGCCGAACCCGTCGCTTGCGACGAAGGGCTCGACGAGCGAATTTACCCATAGACACAGCCCACTCAGTTTCTCGCCGGATCTTCTCAGTTGGTCGCGTTTCCGATCCGGTGGTAGATTTTGCAAGGCACTGCTCTTGCTAGGGCTAGTGTTAGCATCACTCCGCTTTGAGCCCCGTGAGCTCACCTACACGCGTTAGGGTGGAGCTGAAATAGCCTCTGTACCGGCTTGTGGTACATAAGGGAGTTTCTCGTGGTAATAAAACTCCAACACTTGATATTGTTCTGATATATTTTAATGGAGATGTACAGCGAGCTTGAAGAGCGGGTAGTGAATGATAGTGAAATACATGAACTTATTAAGCTGTGATACTTAGCGCCTTAGAAAGCTAGCATCTTTGGTATTGCTCTAAAATAATTGANTATGTACCGGCTTGTGGTACATAAGGGAGTTTCTCGTGGTAATAAAACTCCAACACTTGATATTGTTCTGATATATTTTAATGGAGATGTACAGCGAGCTTGAAGAGCGGGTAGTGAATGATAGTGAAATACATGAACTTATTAAGCTGTGATACTTAGCGCCTTAGAAAGCTAGCATCTTTGGTATTGCTCTAAAATAATTGAAGGCACTGGCCTGAACAGCCTCTCAAGGCTATCAGCATAGGTAGAAAAAAAATCAGAATAAAAAGTATAAAAGAATCAGGGAAATGTTTTAAACAGAATATTTTTGCTTGGAAATCAAATGAACTTATGTACTCATTTTACTGTGTAGATCGTAGATGCGTGGACGAGCTCACAGCCCACCTGGTGTTAAGTGGTTACTGGAGCCCATAGACATCCACAACGTAAATGCGTCACCCACCTTGACATATAAGTTCTAAGGTCTCAAGTATAGTTACAACGGCTGCCTCACCCTTCTAACGGAAACGCATTACTGCTTCACGACAGAAATAGGCAGGGCGGTGGTACCTACCCGCGCGGACTCACAAGAGTTCCTACCACCAGTAATTACGCAAATTATAATTTTCACTTCCAATGTGTGTCTGCGAATTATTTATATAACTTATTTCAAATGTTTTCGCAACACTCATTAAGAAATGTCAGACAGCGTTAACCTAGGCGTTAATAAGCTTTAAAATAACATTATCACCTATCAAAATTGGCGCAGAATATTCTGAAATATTTTTCTAGTCAAACATTGACGCAAGACTTTGTCAAATTTACAGTGATTTATTTGTAAACTAATTCCGAACTATCGTCGCTTTAAATATTATAAATTTAACCGATGACGAAGTATCAGAGATTATTTAATCGTGTGGGATGGAAAAAATATTGTATACGTGCCTCCGCTACGGTTTTTTTTTTGTCTACAGGAGAAAATCGTCGGATCCCCATCCGCGCAGGGAGTTGAACCTCACTAAAAACTCCTGCCGCTCACAGCCGGCGCCCTAACCCGGACCGGGCCGGACCCCAGTCGGAGTTATTGAGACGGCGGGACAGGGTTTACGCAGAGCATATTACATCCATCCCGCCGTCGTCCAGACGCCGGACCGGCGGCCGCCGGTGAAACGACCACCGGTTCCCACGGTCGACGGGCCGGGAAGGTGGGCACCTTGATGGCGCCACACTGTACCTTCCCCCAGAGCGGTCGGGGGAACGCGGTCTACCATCACCCGGCTTCCTATTACGGGCGTGGTGTAAATTACCCCGCCCCACGGCTGGGTCCTTCCCCGCATAAAGCGGGTGGAGCCCAAAGCTCTTAGGGGGCCGGGTCACGGATGGGACCCCGGTCTCGACCCCCTGCTTGGCGGCGGCGGATTACTGTGTAGTGAGGAGAGCTTTGCCTCACCCGCCCCGTCGCCTCCTTCTGCGAGATGTTGGACTCGCAGAAGTCGAGCATAGCTTTCCAGGACTCGTCGCCGCCAAGCATCGACGCCACGGCGCCAGGCAGCGACAAGTCCGGTCCTATCTTTGCGACCAGGACACGGTGCTGCACCTCTCAAGCAGGGCAGACAGCGAGCGTATGCTCCGCCGTGTCCAGGTCGTGTCCACAATGGTGGCACCTCGTCGTCGGCTCAGCTCCTATCCGGTGCAAGTACTACCCGAATCATCCGTGCCCGGTCAGCACCTGCACCAGACGAAAGGTGAGGCGTCTTGCGCCACGATTCACCCAATTATCAAAGACCGGGTAAACCGCCTCGACGGTCCGTAGACCACGTGGGGTTGGCCAACTGCCTCGACCACGATTCGAGCACGGACCGCCGAGACTCCGCTACGGTAAACTATTCTATAATACAGGGTAGACTGGTATTTTTAGGTAAAAATATCAAATTGAAGTCGTCGTGGCCTAAAAGAAAAGACACCCGGTGCATTTGTATCGAGCTATGCGACGGTGTTCGAGTCCCGCAGGCGGGTACTAATTTTTCTAATGAAATACGAACTTCACAAATGTTCACGATTGTCTTCCACGGTGAAGGAATAACATCGTGTAATATTATAATTTAATAAAATTATAATTTGCGTATTTACTGGTGGTAGGACCTCTTGTGAGTCCGCGCGGGTAGGTACCACCACCCTGCCTATTTCTGCCGTCAAGCAGTAATACGTTTCGATTTGAAGGGTGGGGCAGCCGTTGTAACTATACTGAGACCTTAGAATTTATATCTTAAAGTGGGTGGCGGCATTTACCTTGTACACGGGCTCCAGTAACCACTTAACACCAGGTGAGCTGAGCTCATCCACCCATATAAGCAATAAAAAAAAATTGGTAAATATATATATTTTCCGTCCCAAATTTTTTTTTATTGCCCTTTTTGGCAGACGATCTTACGGCCCACCTGATGGTGAGTGGTTACCGTCGCCCATGGACTTCAGCAATGCCAGGGGCAGAGCCAAGCCGCTGCCTACCAAATTGTATTCTAAACTAATATTACTTGCATTAAACAATACCATACAATAAAAAAGCAGCTGACGCGCTAGGTCAACGAACTGCGATGACCGCGATACACCTTCGCATTACATTGCCGGTCACGTAATATGAAATCACTAAATGAGATATTTTTTTTGTAGCAGCTTGAGTAATGTTAGTAAATTAAAGGTTGTAGATATATGGGAAATTTCCTCGTCGAACCCGTCGCTTGCGACGAAAGGCTCGATGAGCGAATTAACCCATAGACACACACAGCCCACTGAGTATCTCGCCGGATCTTCTCAGTAGGTCGCGTTCCGATCCGGTGGTAGATTTTGCGAAGCACTGCACTTGCTAGGGCCAGTGTTAGCACCACTTCCGGTTTGAGCCCCGTGAGCTCATCTACACGTTAAGGCGAAGCTGAAATAGCCTCTCAAGGCTCAGCATAGGTAGAAAAAAAAAGGAAATAAATGATCTAATATTAAAAGAGACAAGTGCTTAGTAGTTTATTGTTCATTCTCGTTATGGCTTAGCAACCGTCTTATTACGTCTTTTATTGACTGTAACTGTATAAAAAATCAAATGTAAATGAACGACACACGAACTTAAAGAACGTACAAACAAACATAAATATCTAAATAATTTTGATTTAAAATAAAAATAAAAAAGAAAACCCGCGAGATTGATGCGCATATTCTATTTAATCTATGATTTATGATAATTCAAATGCGTTTTCCGTGGCCGTGGACCGCTCTACTTGTCATAAATCGTATTAGAATATTACAAAAAAGAAGTTTTTGGGGACTTGATCGTCGCCGGCTGAAGCCGAGCTGCTGATTATATTTAAGAACTCTTTTTCATTTAATATTCATATCAATTTGATAGTCGTTGCTCTGCGAAAACTGACGAGAGTTCAATCTACAGGCGTTCTGTGTGCTTATAGTGCGAGTTTTTTAACGTTGAAATGTTTGCCTAGGATAGCCGCTAAGGGCGCTGTTCCAACTGCATACAAAAATAAATTTGAGTTAACTTTTACGCTATCGAGAACGTTAAAAACTCGCACTAAGCATACTGATGACGTGACCTAAAAAGGGGTCAGGGCATCGAAGCTATCCAACCTATACAGCGTAGTCATTTCATACACGTGAAGCCTAATAATATATACTAGAGGTCCAGCAGTAGTCGAAATTCGACTATAATTAATTGGAATTGTAAGTTTGTACACTATTATGATTGTATTTTATATTTCTATAATCACAAATTTCGCCAAGACTACACTATAAAAAATATTAACAAAGACAAAAAATATTTAATCTATTCTCAATTTGACAACAGACGTCAAGAACAAAAGTTTGACGATAAATAATATGCATGCGTGTGTGCGTCAAATACATGGTATGTAGTGTGTGTAATGTTTTCTTTATTGATTTAATGTATCTTTTATGCATTATTTTGAAAAAAATATTAGCATTGTGCACTTCTTCTCTGTATTCTCTATAAGTGTGGAAAATTTCATACTCCTCTGTCCGCGCAGTTTTCGTAAAAAGGGATACAAAGGTTTTGCTTCATGTATTAATATATAGATTAGTAAAGAAGTAGAATAGTAATCGATCGATGATCGAAATTCGACTGTAATAACTTCTCAGTAAATTCATTTCATACAATATATAATACCTTTTTATTTGATATTGAGAAAAGGACCATTTCCATAATAATTAATAAAGTTCATTTTTAAACAAAACAAATAAAGAAAAATCAATCGTTTTTAACTTACATGGCTGCCTACATAACAAACATAATCTACCCGCGATTATGACCTTTGCAACAGCCGAAATATCGAAAACTCATTGATCGTGAAAAATATTATAACGACCCGCTAAACAGTATATTGTTTATAAACAAAAATCAGTTGACAAACACCCCATAAGATGGTACTTTATTGTTTTGTCTTTGCAATGTTACAAGATCGCTCAATTGTTTTGTACCCTCAGTACGGTGCGTGTTACAGAATCTTAGTACCATATAGGTAGATATAGCGTGAACTATAGTCGTAAAATTGATGAATATATAGTAGTAAATTAGTAAATACCTGAAAGTCCACCAGATGTCGAAGCACATGACGTTGAGCCAAAAGAAGGCCGCCAGCAACGAATAGTAGATCACGAATGCTGTAATCAAAAGGATAATGTTTAAAATTTTATTTGGGGTTTAAAAAGGGTTTATCGGAGCCTTTAAATGTCCAAACGTGAGTGTTAATGAAGAGGAAGTGTGAGAGTAGCCCCAGTGGTTGATACATTAAAGAGCAGACGGTTAGCGTGGTGTGGACATGTGATGCGTAGAGAGGAGATGCATGTGACTTGGAGACGTAATGGAAATGGTAATGCAAGGTAAAGGGGGAAGACGACGACCGAAGAAGACATGGATTGAGTGTGTGAATGACGATATGGAAGAAAGAGGAGTGAGTGTTTTGATGACGGCTGATAGAGAAGAATAGATTAAAAACTATTCGCTGTACCGACCCCAACTAGTGGGATAAGGTGAAGACAAAGAAAAGTGAATGCTAATGAATGAACCTTATTGAGATGTGTGGTGGCAGTCTCGATCGGAATGTCCGTCTGCTTCGCGACACCAAAAGTCAGAATGTTCGTGCCGACCCGTCCTAGCTCACAAAATGACCTCTAGTAATTGCATAAATATATAAAATATGTAGCTTTGATTTTTTATTCGTCCGTCATCTTCGAGTTTTGCTATCGTACAACAGACGTCATAACCATTAAGCCACGTACCTATAAATAATCAAGTATTACCCTACCCAAATCTCCCCCTAATTCCTATCGTCAGTTCTAGTGGCAAGCAGAAAAACTGGAATCATAGTGATATCACTATCTCCCAAGACTGCAAATACGAGTATACCCGACTAATTTAGACCCTAAAACGATATAATTGAAATTGAATGAAATTGTTTCATTAAAATCGATTTTTAACTGACCTCAAAAAAGGAGGAGGTTTTCAATTCAACTGCAAGTTTTTTTTATGTTTGTTACCTCATAAATTTTGACTGGGTGAATCGATTTTGACGCTTCTTTTTTTATTAGAAAGCTGACGCTTCCCGTGTGGTCCCATTCCAATTTAGTCCAGTTCTGATAATGGTATCCATGAGAAAATCATATAAGTCTTAAATTTGCATTAAGTACGTGCGCGACAAATCGATGAATAACTCAATATCACGCCAAACGATTTCGATTAATATTGTTTTTAATGTATATTAATTTGTTTTGGAATTATTATTTTTTTCTATTTGAAGTCGGTTTTTATTAAAGCATGTCTATTTATAATTATTCAATGCTGAATACAATGGCAGATACACACTCAAATGCTAAGAAAAAAATTGTTTACTCTTTTGATGAAAACAAAAAAAAAAAACTCGTAATATTCAAACACAAACCTAAATTTGAAACACGATCCAAAGATTACAAAATTGTTTGTTACTTTAAATAATTAACTGTAGTACGTTTATTTTTACGAGTCTCGCTTCAGCTGTTCCTTCATATCAAGCACAGAAATAGTTTGTATTTTTAGTCACAATATGTTACGTATAATAAAATACCAATCATTTTATCAGATCATCAGATTAGGTAGGTAATAAAACAGTTAATCAAATTGAATCTCTATTTAAAATTTTTTTTTTTTTTAGAGTACGCATTGTGTTTCCTCACATAAAGCCAAGTGAAAGAACCTTACCAAAGTTTGCAAATTTCGAAGGTTATGTCAAGTTGCAAAACAACTTGTCTCGCATCTATTGTGAAAGTCATATTTCTAACACTGTGTTGGCAGTACGGATTGATGATTCATAGAGAAACGATTTGTAATCGAATAGCTCGTAAGCCGCCAATAATGGTCTACGAATTTTTTTTCTAATACCTTAGATATGGAGCGAAGCTAAGAGCATATACGTGGTTAATCACCTTCCTGAGATCTTAGACAAAACAAATTGAACACCAATGGAACACGTCACCGAACTTTAGCGACTAATGTAAGCTCTTCAATAAACATATTATAATAATTTAAAAGTACACCTCGTTGAATGGTTTTTGGTTTTATTTATTTATTGCATAGATGGGTTGACGAGCTCACAGCCCACCTGGTGTTAGGTTACCGGAGCCCATAGACATCTACAAAGTAAATGCGCCACCCACCTTGAGATATAAGTTGTAAGGTCTCAGTATAGTTACAACGGCTACCCCACCCTTCAAACCGAAACGCATTACTGCTTCACGGCAGAAATAGGCAGAGTGGTGGTACCTACCCGTGCTGACTCACAAGAATTCCTACTACCAGTAAAAGAAAACTGTGGTGAGTAATAATATTTAATACAGGGTGTCCCATAAGGAGTATATGAAGCCGATAACCTGTAGTGTTCTATTAGAATAATCGATTCATAGAAAAAGGTACTATAGTCACGTTTTGGTTTGATATGCGCATTATGGGACACCCTGTATAAACTAGTTTTCAACATCCTGTAAGAGGACGGGAGACCACACGGCCTGCAACTCGTTCAAACTGCATGTGGCTTCAGAATTCTAAATCTGTTTTCTTGTTTACATATCCCCGTATACATGTTTCATTCTTAACGATTTGAGTTAGTGTTTCCACTTATATTCTGTTTATCTTACACGGGTCAGTCGCACTGCCCTGGGACCGGTTGCTTTGTATTTGCATTTGTTCATATCGATATTCCTTAACATTGCAATTTAATAAGCGCTTTTGTTTATTGATTAGATGGGTGCACGATCTCCCAGCCCACCTGGTGTCAAGTGTTTACTGGAGCCCATAGATATCTACAATGTAAATGCGCCACCCACCTTGAGATAACAGTTCTAAGGTCTCAAGTTTAGTTACATACGGCTGCCCCACCCTTCAAACCGAAACGCATTACTGCTTCACGGCAGAAATAGGCAGAGTGGTGGTACCTACCCGTGCGGACTCACAAGAGGTCCTATCACCAGTAAGAAAATTATAATTTTGCGGGTTTGATTTTTATTACACGATATTATTCCTTGACCGTGGAAGTCATTTTTATTACACGATATTATTCCTTCACCGTATAAGTCAATCGTGAACATTTGTTGAATACGTATTTCATTAGCACCTACAAAAACCACACACACACAAACACGTGCAAACAAAGCAAAACGACTTCAAGAAAACCATTAAACAAGTTTTGCGAACCAAAAAAATATCAATGGAATTATACTTAAAATGTATTGTGATAAAGATAGCCGTTGAATTCGTTTAGTTTTGTTGTTCGCTTTGAACCATAATTGCTTTTCGCGAATTCCAGCAATCTTCATTGTAATTTATCAAAAATCCTCGAACGTACTCACTGCAATGTCAGTGATTTACTAAAAGCCAGACATGCGTCTAGTATCATAAAATATGTAGTATGTTGATTCGATAATATTCAAGTTAAGCCCACAGTTTTTCGCCGGAACTTCTCGGCGGGTCGCGATTCCCATCCAATGAAGATTCAACACTGCTCTTGCTAGGGCTAGTGTTAGCAATTCTCTCAGTTGAGCCCATGAGCTCATCTACCTACGAACACACCTGGAATAGTCCCCCAGGCTAACAGCGATTAGGTAGGGAAAAAAAGAGCACACGGCTCATCTGAAATTGAACACGATATTGATGTACGGCCTAAGGCTCATGGCATCTGCCCTAAACACGCAATTACGGATCCTCCCGACCCATTAACGATGCTTTTAGGTACCTCAAGCACCGGTCACCGTCCTCTCCGAACTCTTCGAAGGGCTCAACCAGTAAATCAACCCATAGACACAGCCCACTGAGTTTCTCGTCGGATCTTCTCAGTGGGTTGCGTTTCCGATCCGAGGGTAGATTCTGCGAAGCACTGCTCTTGCTAGGGCCAGTGTTAGCAACACTCCGGTTTGAGCCCCGTGAGCTCACCTACACGTTAAGGAGAAGCTGAAACAGCCTCGCGAGGCTATCAGCATGGGTAGGAAAATTGGCATCTGTATGTAATATGGGATGGGAGTCAACAAGCCACTGCTTACGGTTGAGGACTTTCGAAACCTCATTTGAAGGAGGACACCGTTGAAACTGTTGCTCAGTGAACATTAGCAAACAATTTATTTAGACTTTATCTTGTTATTGAAGGTTTTATCATGTCGTTTGATATTACGACGTTAGTGGCTACCAATTTCATGCTAAAATGCGCACACAGGTGACCCTATTTTACGTGAAGGATCATTTACGACGTAAACACAAACAAAAATTCGTCTGTTCGTATTTTAAACTTTGCCATTTGACTATGTTTAGTGCGTACAATAATGAATAAGAGACAGGTGCTGTGTTCATCTAATTCCTCTTGCCTACTTCTTGCCCTTATTCCACTTTACGTGGGGTCGGTTCAGCTATAATGCTGCATAGGAATTTGGCGTGAACTTTAATTTACTATGCGCTGAATACTGGTATAATGAACACTAGACGATGACCGGTTTTTTTTATAACGCCATCTTGTTCTTTCTTTAAAGCGGTTAGTTGCCCTCAATCAAGAAAAATAGTATTATTATTCGCCAATAGATGTCGGGATGAGTTGATTACTGAAAACACGAATAAAACAACATTTTCTGAAAATAAACCGTAGCTAGATCGATTTATCGCCCCCGAAATCCCCTGTATAGTAAATTTTATGAAAATCGTTGGAGCCGTTTCCGACATTCAGATTACATATATATTAATATACAAGAATTGCTCGTTTAAAGGTATAAGATGATTGTCTTCCGGAACATTGATACAAAAAACCTTTAATTTATAGCTGACCCCGTCCGTGATTAGAAATTAAAAAAACATTGTGACATCGACACGTTTTTATGGCGTTTCTCTGTCTCAAACAAAAGTCAATGTCGTTTGATTATCAAGAGCTCAATCTTGAGGTAATTATTTGCAGACTTCTATTAAATAAGAATAAGGTTCTCATTGTGTTGTTTTTTTATTTATTTACAGAAATACGATTAATGTATATTTTTCAAATTTCGGTAAATCTGCATTGCTCTCCGTTTGTGACAGAGGAGTTTTAAACAGAATCCGTTCATTTAATTTCACCTCAACCTACAGTCTCAAATAAATCTGCCTCACCTAATTTCATGCATATCATTTTTCAGATAACAGAATATATAAAAGACTAGCTGTACCCGTCCGCTTCGCTGGGCATTTAAAATTAACATTATTATTTGTCACCCCCACAAAGATTCTCATCATTAACGCCCCCGCAACTGGTGTAGGGAGTCCAACTCTCATGTAAATATTAGCCTGTCCATTAAGTACATGCATTTTCTACATGGATACCAAGTTTCAAGTCAATCGGATGCATGGTTCAATAGTTATAACGGATCATCCGTAAAAACCACTCTAGATTTATATATCAGTATAGATTAATTAGGCTCTATGGTGTGATACCTTCGCCTTTCCTGTTGGAAAAATATAACTACCACTATATCATACTCACTGAAATAAACGCATGTCGTCACTGTTATGTTGTTGATCGTCAGCAGTATTTGCATTGTCGCCAGGAACGTGAAGCCGACGAACAGACTGAGAAGGTACGCCATGAGCACCCTGCCGTGCAAGTTCCGTAGCTCTGGTAGCCACGCGTACACTGCTACCGTAGCCAGGATGAACAAGCAGGAAATCAGCATGCCTTTTGAACAAAAACGAAATATTAACATCGAAAATAACATTATTGACGTAATGTTTATTAATGTATTTTTTGTATAATCTGTGTTTCTATTTGTTTGAATTTTTTTGATTGACACGTCCTTTTGTTAATCTATATATATAAAAATGAATCGCTGTTCGTTAGTCTCGCTAAAACTCGAGAACGGCTGGACCGATTTGGCTAATTTTGGTCTTGAATTATTTGTGGAAGTCCAGAGAAAGTTTAAAAGGTTAAAAAATATGAAATTATGAATACTCGAAATTAAATAAAAATAACAATTTTGTTTTTCCTTTGATGTGTCCCCCGACGGACGGATTCCTTTTGTTTGTTTTAAGTTTATTTTATAGAAAAGTTTAGGTCTTTTATTTATCGATTGAGGCACTACGAAGTCTGCCGGGTCAGCTAGTTTGTAATAAATGTTATTTTGTTCTGTGTTACTAAGGCCTACAATGATAGTTTTAAATTTACGGAAGGCAGATAGCAGAGATTATTTTTAAACCTTCTTTCTACACTTCAAGCTATTAAGTGTAACTGTATCTTCCTTCTTCCTTTTATACTTCTATTTCCGCTTTCGATAGAGATTTCACTAGTAAGTCCTTAATAATTAAGAGTTGTTGTTGTAAGACATTTTTGCGGGCCTAATTTTGCAATTTTTGAAGTCGTCGTGGCCTAAAGGATTAGATGTCCGGTGCATTCGTAGCGATGCAACGTGTTCGAATCCCGCAGGCGGGTACCAATTTTTCTAATGAAATACGTACTTAGCAGTTGTTCACGATTGACTTCCACGGTGAAGGAATAACATCGTGTAATAAAAATCAAACCCGCAAAATTATAATTTGCGTAATTACTGGTGGTAGGACCTCTTGTGAGTCCGCACGGGTAGGTACCACCGCCCCGCCTATTTCTGCCGTGAAGCAGTAATGCGTTTCGGTTTGAAGGACGGGGCAGCCGTTGTAACTATACTGAGACCTTAGAATTTCTATCTCAAGGTGTGTGGCGCATTTACGTTGTAGATGTCTATGGGTTCCAGTAACCACTTAACACCAGGTGGGCTGTGAGCTCGTCCACACATCTAGGCAAAAAAAAATACAGTATTCCTTCGTTGCGAAAAATAGAATGTTCGTGAACAATTTTATGTACGTATTTGTTGAAATTGATACTGGCTCGCGGTACCCGTAGGTCCTTTTCACATGCACACGGTCACGGCACGGTCCGTGCTAAATAAATAAATAAACTAGGCAACAAATTTGTTATCCTTTAATTCCTGTCTAATGAAAATGCTTAAAATTTCCGGGTATATCTATATGCAGTGGTTTTTTTTTTACAACTGCTCATAAAAAAATGTTTATTTGACATGTGAAGTTATGATTTTTTTTCCCAAGAAATCGTAATGCGAGATTCCGTGGACTTATTCTTGGAACTATTGAATCATAATAATATGTTAGTTATTGTTACTGTTACTGTTAATATTATAGCATATGATATTAAACGTTAGACATAAACATATGTGCTAGGTGACATGAGATTTCTAAAATTACCGATATCAACACCTCCCTTCTCATCGGTTTATTGTATTTTCCTATTTATGCTCCCCAAACCGTTACTTTCACTCTACGGTATCACCTCAAATGAAGATACTATTTACACATTTTAAATACTATTTTTTTATTGCCTTAGTAGGCAGACGAGCATACGGCCCACCTGATAGTGAGTGTTTACCGTCGCCCATGGACTTCAGCAATGCCAGGGGCAGAGCCAAGCCGCTGCCCACCAATATTAATTTAATATTCACAGCATTCATTTTATGAGGGATTACTTTTTTAAATCAAAATTGTAATCATTAAAAATTTTTCTACTTAAATTCCACTTGTAATTCAAGTTTACATGATTGTTGATGTTCCGAATATTTCACAATTTTCGTGATTACAGACGTACGTGTAATTAAATTTTAATGACAATAAATACGAGAAATTAAATCTTAAGGGAAGTTTTTAATTGAGTCCACGGCACGCGAAAACCGGAGGAAATATTATGTACTAGGTAAAACTGTTTTAACGGCTTGGAGATTTTTTCCGATTACATAGCCAACGGATGCCTTTTTTTCGGGCAGGGGGCCTCCTACAAGATATCTTTTTTTTAACAAATGTTATTCCTTCACCGTGGAAGTCAGTAAGTTAAGTACGTATTTCATTAGAAAAATCGGTACCCGCCTGCGGGACTGGAACACCGTTGCATCGCTAGATACGAATTTCTACGCCTATTTATTATTTATTTATTTTTTATTCGATTTCTACGCCTGAAGGGCACGCGGGAAATGTGAGACATGACGGTCTACAGATGTTGGGAGCAGACCGAGGGCCTAAAGAATTTTTAGGATCCTACTCCACCAAACGAATCCCCTAGCACTCTCTCACCGGACGTCCGATCTCCAGCCGGGGTCAGAACCCGCTAGGGTCGTTGTTGCGTCCAACACGCCAGTCAGACTCGCGGCACCACCCCGAGGAAGTCAACATATGCCTGACACAAGCTAACGTTCTGACAAAAACCTCCAATGACAAAAATTCCCGTAAACATTTTTTCCTGTTCAATGTGTAATGTCTAAAACCATGCGTTTAGTCATTCTGTTGCAGCAGATGCTAGACCAGACGAGCTCTCGACCCGTCGGGTATTAAGTGACATAGCTTGAATATTGACACCCATCTTGATAATAGCAGATGTAATACGCGCCAAAGTTTTTCGCCAGAAATAGGAAGGATACGCCATATCAACAAAAATTTTATTGTGCGAGTATAATTATTATTATTATTTTTGTTTTTTTTATTGCTTAGATGGGTGGACGAGCTCACAGCCCACCTGGTGTTAAGTGGTTACTGAAGCCCATATACATCTACAACGCAAATGCGTCACCCACCTTGAGATGTAAGTTCTAAGACCTCAGTATAGTTACAACGGCTAAATAATATTCGCGCCATTCGGTTTGAAGGGTGGGGCTTCAAACTGAATGGCGCGAATATTATTTCATAGCGAGCCTAGTTTGTGATTTAGCTTGTTTATTTTGCTTAGAAAAGTTCGTGCCTACCCTAGGATTTGAAATTGACGCATCAAAATCACTCGATACAAGTACATCCTGAGTTTTACCTACTAGGTCACGGACGTTCAATTACAAAATGGTATTCCCATTGGTTTGCTTATATTTGATTTTTACCACTATGTATCATTTAACTTGTTTCTCATGAGTAATTTTTACCCGACTTGAAAAGCAGGAAATTCTCAATTAGGTAGCTGTTTATGTTGTTTCTTATAAAAATAATATTTAAAAATATAATGACACATTGCATACAAAATATATAACCAGATATTTTGAAGTCACTAAATTAGATGGCTTAATGTGTTACCGAAAAAGGTCTTGGGAAACCCTTTGAATTCTAAACAGAGGTAGGCGACCCATACGAATGATGTTATTAGAAACTTAAGTTGCTCCCTCACCTTTGATGATACCCATTAAGAAGCATATGTTTCTAAAATATTTTTAAACGAACAATGCTTCAATACCATGAACAGTCAGACTAACTACAAAGAAGCATAGTGCTATCTTGTGCTATTTGTTTCCAATAGTCCCAAGCCAAATATAACGAACTATTAGATAAAATATATATTTAATATGAGGTCCTATATAGTCCTGGAGCTCATTGACATTCTACTGTGAATATGTCGGGTATCATAAAGTTACGGAATCAATCGATGTATTGTTACGAAGACTACCCAATTTTGTTATATCAACAGGGAATATGGTGGCCTGGCCTATACCTTGTACTAATGTTACTCAATTCCCGAGTTCTATACTCGCGTAATGACGTATTTTCATCTTCTATGATGATCCATCTTCTATGATCATTAATCTATATATTAATACGTGAAGCAAAAACTTTGTATCCCTTTTTACGAAAATTGCGCGGACGGAGGAGTATGAAATTTTCCACAGTTATAGAGCATATAGAGAAGAAGTGCACAATGCTAATATTTTTTTAAAATAATTCATAAAAGATACATTAAACCAATAAAGAAAACATTACACACACTACATACCATGTATTTGACGCACACACGCATGCATACTATTTATTGTCAAACTTCTGTTCTTGACGTCTGTGGTCAAATTGAGAATAGATTAAATATTGTTTGTCTTTATTAATATTTTTTATAGTGTAGCCTTGGCGAAATTTGTGATTATAGAAGTATAAAATACAATCATAATAGTGTACCTACAAACTTACAATTCCAATTAATTATAGTCGAATTTCGACTACTGCGGGACCTCTAGTATTATTTAAATGTTTCGTTGTCTCCTACAATTGTTTTTCTTGAGAAAATAACGTGACACTCACTCTACCTGCTAATAATTCCTATTCCGTTTTGTTTGTCATACTTACAAGTGAATCTTAGGACGTATTGTTCGTTGTTAACTTTATCAGCGAAGCAGATCAGCGCGTCCAGACTTGAGGTCCTCTCGCCAGTTGTTGGGTCTTCTCTGACGAACGTGTCGATGCAGTATTCATCAGGGGTCTGAACGAGCCACGGAGGAATGCTCTCTGGTATTTGTATGTACAGTTTACCATCCTGAAATTGATATTTCAATTTGTATTTGCGTTGCGATTTTTTTGTTGAACAATATCTTTTAATGGTGATAGGACCTCTTGTGAGTCCACACGGGTAGGTACCACCGCCCTGCCTATTTCTGCCGTGAAGCAGTAACGCGTTTCGGTTTGAAGGGCGGGGCAGCCGTTGTAACTATACTGAGAACTTAGAACTTATATCCCAAGGTGGGTGGCGCATTTACGTTGTAGACGTCTATGGGCTCCAGTAACCAGTTAACACCAGGTGGGCTGTGAGTTCGTTCACACATCTAAGGAAAAAAAAACTAATTGGCAAAATAGTGGCTGGTATGAGAGACTATGTGCAATTTGTAGGAACATACAGAGTGTTGTAACAATAAGGTTAAATAAAGTTCAAATAACCAATACAGCTGGGGTAAGTGTTCGCGAAATCCACTATGAAGATCTGAAAATTCACGATGACAAATTGGATTTTGTTAACGTTTTTGCATGGCACGCAGTGTAACAGTTAATAATCAGTTGACGGGTCAATAATCTTTTGTGACGTGAGATGTCTACTAATAAAACGGACAAATGTTTTGGTAAAAAAGACATTTTTAGAAGTTTCTATTGCCTAGCATATAAAGCAGACTATTGCTTAATGGCACTGTGATTAATTAAAAAAAATGATCAAAAATATAGTTAGCGAAATTATATTCTCACAATAATATCATATCTGTGTATTATGTTAAACCGTTTCTTACGGCGATTTTTAATTTTACTTGGGTTTGTGCCGAAATATGGGGAATTAATTCGAGAACTGCGAAGTTTTAAGGAATCATATTATACAGGTATTATTACTGTCTCCCTAATTTTTTCTTTCCTAAATATTTAAGTATGCTATATGTTGTAAGAGGTTCGGCCCCCTACCCGAAAAAACAATGTTCAAGAGTTTAACTGTTGGAAGATTGTAAACATAATCTCTAAATTGATCTATAATGTCAAAATAGTTCGCATTTTGCTCACTTGAGGCGCCACCGTCCTTGCTATAGGTATTTAAGTTTCTATTTTTGCAAATCACTTTCTATGTTTTTCTCTTTGCATTAAGCCGTTAACAATTTATTATATTCCGGAATATTATTTAAACATTAACTCAGAAAAAACAAAAAGACATATTGCAACAAAACGAACAAAAACAACACATGTTTGGTCTGATTACAACGACAACATGCAGAGTACCTACATATTGCATATGTGACCTTTAAAAACATTTGATATCGAAATTAAAGACAGACATTTAAATTTTATTTGTGTAGATTATACGCATAGGATTCGCTTGATACAAGAAGTTGCGCCAGATATTCTAGTCAAACCTGTTCCAAGAGAGAAATCATAGTTTGAACGTACTACCTACATTTACTCAAGTATACCGATAAAAAATATTTTTTATAACATGTTATTATTAGTGAAATTTTACTCTGCCGTGTCCTTCGATGATAGCACACTTTGTATTCAACAAGATTTACAACAGATTTTGTTTATAAGCTCAATAAGGAGACGAGAATACGTCCCATCTCATAATGTGTGGTCACATGACCAGCGTCGCACTTAAACCGCTGTCTGCAGCTTAATATCTGAGCAATAATATGATTAATAGCATAGTTAACATCAGAAATCGACATAGTCATAGACTTCTTCCAATAGGCTGTGATCGCTATGATCTCATTAATTAAATTCGTAACTTACGTATTTTCAACACATAAATGCCACTAGACGATGACCGAGCTTTGCTCGGTTTTGTTTTTTTAGAACGCCATCTTGTTGTGTCTTTAAAGCGGTTAGTTACCCTCAATTAAGAAAAATAGTATTATTATTCGCCAATAGATGTCGGGTAGAGTTGATTATTGAAAACACGAATAAAACAACATTTTCTGAAAATAAATCGTAGCTAGATTGATTTATCGCCCCCGAAATCCCCTGTATACTAAATTTTATGAAAATCGTTGGAGCCGTTTCCGAGATTCAGATTATATATATATTAATATACATGAATTGCTCGTTTAAAGGTATAAGATTCATACTAATATTATGAATCTGAAAGTTTATTTGTTAGTTTGTGGGTTGGTTTGTCCTTATTTCGCGTCGAATCGAAGCAACTTGTTGACGTGATCTTTTTAAAGCGACAATTTTGGGTCAGTAACATGGACTACTTTTTATCCTAGTAATACATACCGTCGCCCATGGACTTCAGCAATGCCAGGGGCAGAGCCAAGCCGCTGTCTACACAATAATATGGAATCTAAACCCAAATCAATACAGTCGAATTTCGATCTTTGGGCGAACCCTAGTTAGAGCAATACAAGTTTCGTTGTTAGCGTGCGTGCAATTTTAACATCAGGAAAATACGTCGAGAAATATTTATAAAATTTTATTCAATACGATGTTTCCTTTTCAAGAAAAATATGTCTTAGCTGTAACCAAATAAGCGTCAGCATCGTATTTGTAATTCCTAAATAACAAGTGACAAGTGCAAGCCATATGTCATCGGTAGAATCGTAAAAACATGCCGTCTTGATTTCTAGGCAGATAAATAAATTAAATGATAACGAAGCTAAATAAATGTAACATGTTTAATATGTAAAAATGTAACATGTTTATACATGTTACATATTTAAATATTTTAGGTACACAAACTATACTAATATGATCAAAAAGAATTCGTGAATTGTTACGAACTATTGGTAAATGCCCCCGTATGAACACTATGCAGTCTCATGACATCTTATTTATTAATGAAATTTAAGTTGAATTATTTTTAATCTAGATTTATATAAATGATTGATAAACATGATTCTTAAATTATTCATTTGGATTTTTCCTCATAATAGTACATTGTGCACCAAGGGAGAAAAGTAGGACATTTCCTCCCGTGAGATGTCCTACTTTTTTCCCGCGGTGCACATACCTACCGAGCCGGGGTCCAGGGGCGAAGCCCTGGCGGGGGTAGGGGGTCGGAGCCCCCCCCCCCATACTCATAAAAAAACAATTTAACTATTTTTTAATTTTTTAAATAAACTACTACTAATTGAATAAGAACTGTCTGATGAACTCATCTTTGTTTAATATTTCACTATTAAATTTTATTGCCTTTTGTTTATTTCACTTTTACACTAAACACAACATTGCAAATTACCCGAGCACAACAACGGCGGAGAATTTTAGGTGCGTGAGAGCAGACGTAGACACTAACGCGCATGCGCACTTGTCAGTACCCAGGGAGGAAAAGTTACACTTTCTTCCCTGTACAGCGGGAGGAAAAGTTAGACTTTAAGTAAGGGTAAGAGAAAAAATATATCTCTTATACAATTTTCAATTTACACCGAGTCTCGTTTCGTAGTACGTAAATACGTAGCAAAGATTGGGCTAAATATAATTACTGAACAAACAATTCACCGTAATGTTGGACAGAGACGCGTGCCCTGGTCCCATTTTTTATCTTTAATTTAAGACTAATTTAGCAAAATCAAATGAGTAGCCAAAAACAGAGGAAAGAAAGATGGCGAAGACGGTTAAAAAATGAGCAAGGCGTAATAAAAGTGTTAATTAATTTTTAATTATTATTATAACAGAAGATTTTCGAACAGTGGAAGTTTTTTTTTATGCGCTGCGATCCTTATTCTATATTTATAGGAACATATACTGCAGATTTTAATAGAAAAATCGTCTTGTAAAAATCGAACCCCTAAATTTGTATAATTACTAGTTCTAATGTGTATATATTGTCCATGCGAATAGGCACCTCCATGTTTTTTCTGTTACGAAGCAGTTTTGCCTTGCTGTTTGAAGGATCGGACAGAAGTTATCTAACGGCCGTTTTCAATAACGTATCTGAGTTTTCGGATAGATAGCTATCTCCGAATATCAGCAAGTGCGTATCTGTCCTTAGTTTGCGTTTCACAATCACGGATAAGTGCTATCTCTCTTTAACCAACAGTAGATAGCTTCTTCCCTCCGATTTATCCGAGCCTCTTGATACGTTTCGTTCTACTACAAATACGAAACAACATCAGGATCAAGACTTATTTTATTTTATTCTAAATTATAACTATAATTTAACCAGCATATTGTANACCGCAATTTTCGGGTAAATAGGGATTACACCTATTTTTGCATTTTTTGCTTAAACTGGAATGCTAGTTGCATAATTTTAAATTAGACAACAAAGATGCCCCCAAGACTCAATCATTTTGATCCTGATATAGCATTATATACATCAACAACTACCTTAAAATTGCTCACAAAGTTGGAATTTGTCCCTAATCGCCCCATTTTACGGTATGTGGTGTCCCTACTATATACGTCTATGCTCTCCTCATCCACTTCTTGCCGGCCACCGGTCATCGCACCATCTAGCCAGGGGGCGTCCCACGTTACGTCGTCCGCTGCGCGGTCTCCACTCGAGAACCCGTCTGCTCCAGCGATCGTCAGTCCTACGGCATATATGGCCAGCCCACTGCCACTTCAGCTTGCTGACTCTATATTAGTTCAGTTGTATACTTAATATTAATTATCAACAAATCGTTAGTCATTATTACAATGGGAACCGACATAAAGTCTGTTTTTACTACCAAAATATTTTAAAGTAACGTCCTTAATATTAATCGATAGTTTGATGATATAGTTAGTTTTACAGTTGTTTTCCGAAATTATTCCATGAGAATATACTGGCAAAAGGGGAATCGTAACAATGAGAAGATACATACAAAGAACTCAAATATCATGATTCAACAGACACAAGCATCTACTGTAAATTACCACGAGAAACTGTATTTGTGTACATGTATATTAATATGTGCAACTAGAACGCAGAAAAAGAAAGAAGCTGTCCTTTACTATCTATGTAAGCAGGTCTGGTGCGCAACACAATGCATCCTTGCCGGTGTTTGCGTTTTCTATATATAAAGGAAGTTGCGAATTTAAACAAAACGTACATATTACATAATAAATGTTCAAGGGTGACTGCCGTGATATAGTAATACATCGCTTTATACCAAATCCACATCTGTTTCTAAATTTGGGTAATTGCTTTCACAATTTGTTGATTTGAAGGATGGCAATAGCCATTAATAATGTAATTGAGACTTTGACTTCATGTTTCAAGGTGATGGGGTGACATTCATGTCTATGGGTTCTAGTAACCATATTACATCAGATGAGCTGTGAACTCATTCACCCACCAACGCAATAAAAAATTCGATAGCTTTTTAAAAAGAGTTATGTTTCATTTTCCCATTCTTATTATTTTTTAATGTTTGTAACACAATGGGGGCTGTCCCGCCATTTTAAATTATCGCCATTTCGTTTCTTGTGTGAGATGGAGAATTAGACAGGAAAGTGAGATAGAAATAAAATATCCTATTGTGTTTCTCTCTGTAAATCCTTACAATATAAAATTTAACTTTAACTGTGATATTATATAAGAGGTAAGATTTTAAAATACCTATAGAGAGATGCCGTTCATATTAAACAATTCATCGAGGCGTCTGTTCGGTTTGAGTGACTTCAATGGCGTCCCTTACTAAAACTTTTTAGATGGTTCCCTCATCCTTTTCTCACACATCTCTACTCTTCACTAGTGACTAGAGAGTAGACTGTGTTTACTGTTTTCCTGGCAAGTGGCATATTCAACTTCCAAAAGAACAGAAATTTAGTAAATATGTATTTTATAACTTTCACCTTTAGTTTCAATACATTGAATGATCATAATTTTTATTATCGAAATGTATTCTTATTAAATATCTTTGACTATTTTGTTTCATAAGCCGAGAAAAATAATGAGATAAAAGAATATCATTTTAAAAATGTTTACAACTAACAACGTTCAAGCGGGCACAGTGCCCACTCTACAGTACCAAGAACATCCTCAGAAGTCACAAGGGAAGAACATAGAAAACGTACAACAAAAGAATGCTCATCAATCACAGGCACAACAGGTCATATATTGTGTTGAATTAGTAAAATAATACAGTAGGTATTTAAAATTATTAAAATATTATAATAATTGAGGACATAAATCTTTTTCAGGAATTTCCAACATTTTGTTATACAACAAATGTGAATATGATTGGTAAAATTGGAACTGCGAACACTAGTCAAACAGGGGGTGTGAACATAACGCAACTGACTACAAGCGATGACAAGACATGCTATATAGCACAACCGTTCTCATATAATTATGCACTTGTTAATCAAATGCAAATAGCTCCTAATGGAATACAAAATACAATATCAAACATTAGTTTCAAATGTGATGTTTGTGGACTTATGTTTGGTCATCTAACTTTACTGACAGCTCATAAAAGGATTCATACTCAAGATACAGGTAAAGCTACAAGCTGTACTGAAGTTTGAAAACACTGCAAACATAAATTAAGAGGGTAGATTAGTACAAAGATGATATGCGGTGTTGTTCATATTTTCAATTGTCAAGTGCAATATAATATGATATGGTTTTGTGTTGGCAAGCAGAATTAATAACATTACAATAATTTTTACAGATAACAATATTACAGTGGTAGCAACAGCTGGAAATGATGTTACAATGCCTTCACATATACAAATATTGTCATCAGACCCAAATGAACAACAAAATCAACAACACCATGTACAAATACAAGACAGTAAGTCAAGTTTTGCTCTATATTTTTCAATTTTCAAATTCTCTTTTTATTGTTTGGTGTATATTATAAGTTATACTCCTCCTTGCGTCGTTTTCCTCATTACTGAGAGTTGTGACTCCCCCGCTGCATCAGTTTCTCCCGTACGATTTCCCTCCATCTGCTGCGATCCTTAGCTTCATAAGAGCATTGTGGAAGTTGATGCTTAGAGAAGATCGTATTTGGTCCGACCATCTCGTGGGACTGCGTCCTCTGGGACGTTTGCCATCTACCTTTCCTGTCACCATCAGCTGTTCTAGATTGTGACCCTCTTTACGAGCAATATGTCCAAAGAATTCCAGCACCAGAAAGTTATACATATAGTGTACGTTAAATATCAAGGACCCATTAATGTCAGTGATAATGAATGTTTTAGATAGTCTACTGTTTGTAATTATTTTTACTTATACTGAGCTTAAAGCATTGTAGAAAATATAATTATAAAGTAATCTCTAAAGTATTTAGTTAACTTAGTTACTTAAGAATCTCTTTCCTTCTAAGACTAATAAGAATCTTGTATTTATTGTAGCCAAGCCTTTACTAGACAAAATTCAGAAATGCATATCATGTGGTGGAACAATACAGAACAATCCAAAAAGAAAGGGGCCCAAGTTAATAAGATGTGAAACCTGTATAGCACAAGACTCTGTTGATCAACATAGACCAAATCAAAGTGAGTACAACTCTGTAAAGTTCTAATGGGTAATTACATAAAAAAAATAGACAAATTATACTACAAACTACTTGTAAAGGGGTGCTCATTAGAAACTCAGTAGTCAATGAATTTAATTTAATTTATTATGGCCTCAAGGGTTAACCTAACTTGTGCTGTTATATTGGTGTGATTGTGCCTTTGTGTGACTCCCATAAGCAGGTACCAATTTGTCTTATGAAATTTGTACTTAACTGAATGAAGTAATTATCTATATATATAAAAGAAAGTCGTGTTAGTTACACTATTTATAACTTAAGAACGGCTGAACTGATTTGGCTGAAAATTGGTGGGGAGGTAGCTTAGAACCAGGAGAAGGACATAGGATACTTTTCATCACGTTCCCGTGGGACGTGGCATACAACGTGGTATAACAAAACACAACTGATATGGATTAACAAAATGCAAATGACAGCTAAACGTAATGTAGTCTAAGGTTAATTAAAGTAGAATTTTGAAGTAGACCGGTTGATGTGTTTGTTTCGAGTTTCTATTAGCTTATTGTGCCGAGATAGGTAATCATTACCAGAAAACCATGCCGCGATCAACATGATCGAATTTTTCCCGACGAAGCCGTAATGCAACTAGGGTTCGAAACATTGCGAGTGAAAGGACTGAAGAAGAACAAGAAAATATAATAATAACAACTAAAATACATGGCCAATAAAGTATCATTAAAATACTTGCTTTTTTTAATTTACATTAATTATCCAAATATAAAATTGACCTTGATAAAATTAAAAGTATGCTCATTTATTGCCTCTAAGGCGGAACAAAGTTCGCCGGGTCACCTAGTTGTGTAATAAAAATCAAAACTGAAAAAAAATATAATTTGCTAGGGTGTCTTGTAAGCCTGCTCGGTTAGGTACAATCGACCTGTCTATTTCTGTCGTGAAGTAGAAATAAATGTTTTAGTTTGGAGGGTGGTGCAGCATTGTATTGTAAAAACTGAGACTTTGAACTCCTTTCTCAAGATAGGTGACGACTCTTACGTTACTGATAATCACTTAACACTACATACATGCACCATGAGCTTATCCACCCAGTCAAAGTAAAAAAAAATTGTATCTGGGTTTTTTGAATACCATTAACAAAATTTTAAAGGAATAATCTTTTTATTTGACCTTAGTATTTTTAGTACCTGTATTTTACTATTTCTAAATAAACATTATTTATCAGTGATTCCGGCACAAATTTTCGTTGGAGAAGAGAATGTGAAGTATGAAGTTAGTGGTGTGAACTCTAATGCACCTTCAACAGATCCACTTTCGACCACTCAAACAGCTCAACCTGTGCAACAACAACAACAACAGCAGCAGCAACAGCAGCAAAAACCATGTTAGTTTGCTCGAATTTTACCTTTGAACGTACATGTTATATACATTAACATAGTTTATAGTAGTAATCTTAAAGTATTTGCTTTTTATATTTTATAAATTTAAATGCCTAAAATTAAGCCACAGCCCAGTTAATGGCTATCAGAATAAATAAATAATTGTTAATATTTAGTTCATTGAAAATGTAAGTGCGGAAAACTTTAAGTTTGTGAAATTATGTTGAAAGCAAATTTAAAAGCTTAACAAAGCTTAAAGGATGCTTTACATAGCTTTCAAAATCCCCAATTATTTGGAAACTAGCTGTTACCTGCGACCTTGTTTCAATTAGTTGTGTAACACTATTAATACCCAATTTGTGAGCATGATAAAAGTATCCAAAGATCTGCAAACACACTGCTCTGGTCATAAATCAGAGCCTATGTTAATAGTAATTTACGTAATTTGTGTAAACATGGTTTTCTTATAAATATGATATTCGTTTTTGGAATAAAATGTTGCTTCTTTCCTGACTTAAAATGATCCGTAGCATCTTTGCGACGTATAAAAAAAATAAACAAACACTTTCACATTTAGAATGTTATTATTGGATTAAGAAAATCCTTCATTTTATATTTCCTTAACATACAGCTGATCAAAATTGTAAAAATATATTGCATTGATGAGTTTAACACGGTGATGGCCCACTTAGTTTTAAGTGAGTACTGGAGTCCATAGACAACATGAGTACTGTCAGCCACCTTGAGATAATTAAGTAATCATTAAAATTCAAATGATTAAAAATCATCATAGCTTTATGGCAGAAATAGACAGGGTGGTAAAGTTTAATCAAATTTTATAACAGATTAGAAATAAAGGGAAAGTATGAACTGCATATTAAGTAATTAAAATTTTATTACAGTGCCAGGTCACCATCCTGTGAAAAAAAGAAATTTGTCATCTGTAACAAAATGTCAGAATTGCAATGGTTCTGGTATTATATTTGTCGGCGGAAACAAAAATAAGTTGAATCAGCCAAGTGCAGATAAACCTTTCCATTGTAACATTTGTGGGGGCTCATTTTCGAGATATTCTTCGTTGTGGTCCCACAAGAAATTACATTCTGGTGAGAAGAATTTTAAATGCGGTATTTGTGGCATAGCTTTCGCAAAAGCTGTTTACCTTAAAAACCATTCAAGAATACACACTGGAGAGAAACCTTACCGGTAAGGAACATTTATTTTTTCATGATACCTAATGACTTGCTTGCAATATTTGGATTGGATTCCATTATGTTCAGAGTACAGCTAATGCCTCATTTATGGAAACATTTTAGGCCTGTACATTCTGTATAGTGATATCACATTAAATTTTGTCATATTAAGATGACGTCGTGGCCTAAAGGATAAGACGTCCGATGCATTCGTATCTAGCGATGCAACGGTGTTCAAATCCCGCAGGCGGGTATCAATGTTACTAATGAAATACGTACTTAACAAATGTTCGCGATTGACTTCCACGGTGAAGAAATAACATCGTGTAATAAAAATCAAACCAACAAAATTGTAATTCTCGTAATTACTGGTGGTAGGACCTCTTGTGAGTCCGCACGGGTAGGTACCACCGCCCTGCCTATTTCTGCTGTGAAGCAGTAATGCGTTTCCGTTTGAAGGGTGGAGCAGCCGTTGTAACTATACTGAGACCTTAGAACTTATATCTCAAGGTGGGTGGCGCATTTACGTTGTAGATGCCTATGGGCTCCAGTAACCACTTAACACCAGGTGGGCTGTGAGCTAGTCCATCTATATAAGAAATATAAAATAAAAAATTTAAGTCGTCGTGGCCTAACGGATAAGACGTCCGGTGCATTCGTGTTGAGCGATGCACCGGTGTTCGAATCCCGCAGGCGGGTACCAATTTTTCAAATGAAATACGTACTCAACAAATGTTCACGATTGACTTCCACGGTGAAGGAATAACATCGTGTAATAAAAATGAAACCCGCAAAATTATAATTTGCGTAATTACTGGTGGTAGGACCTCTTGTGAGTCCGCGCGGGTGGGTACCACCACCCTGCCTATTTCTGCCGTGAAGCAGTAATGCGTTTCGGTTTGAAGGGTGGGGCAGCCGTCGTTACTATACTTGAGACCTTAGAACTTGTATCTCAAGGTGGGTGGCGCATTTACGTTGTGGATGTCTATGGGCTCCAGTAACCACTTAACA